CCTGATGCTCCACTGTTGTAATTTTCCTGCTATGGCCATTTCCTTTGGTTTGTATATTAGTTTTTATTTTAATTACGTATTTTTTTCTTTATTCTATGATTTTTTCAACTTTATCTTTATTTCGTGACAATATTCGATGTTTTCTTAATAAAATATACTCAAGACTTTGAGGTTGAGCGGGTTGTGAGAGTATTTACACCTTTATTTATCTCTTCCTCTGTTTGGTCATTTTTATTTGCATTTCTAGTGTTTCTTGTCAGGCGCTGTCCAGCTACTCTTTACTGCTCGTTTTACTCTTCCGATTCACTGTAGTATCATTTTAAAATGTGAGTTTCCGTCGTAAATAAATTGCTAGTTTTATGTGCTTATGCGTGGGTTGAAGTATAGAAAGAATTACCAATTCAATAGTTAATTTGATAAAAGGTTGAATTCTGGAGTATGTTTATCTGAAATACAAAAATTAGTTTATGTCTTAGTCGCAGCTTTGTTTGCAAATAACTCATGATATAGCCAATGGCTTTTGCCAATGCTCTTTATCACTGTTCTGTCATTATTTATCTCTAAAAGCGTATATCTACACAGTTTTACTTCCATTAGTGTTCACCACTGGTGTACCCAAAGGCTTAGATCGTCTGGTCTTCCCAGAAAAATAAGATTAGGCTAAATAGGTGTGCATGCGACATACCTTGTTATGCGCGGCGGCTGAGATGTGCGGGTCGGATAATCTCAAGCTCTCGTGGACTAATACTCCTGCACCTCGAACATTGCGCTGTGTTTCTCTTTGCCCTAATTATGGTCCACGTCTGGTGCTTTCTGTTCTAGAAGCCATGCGTGAGGCAAGCGCCGCCGCCTCATGGGAAACGCATGCCTGTGTCAGGATCCAGTCCGCCATCAGAATGTGGTTGCAGCGCACTGTCTACCTGATGGTTCGTAGCAGCATCATTCATATTCAACGCTTTTATCGTGGTTACAGGGCAAGGAAGCGGCTTGCTGTGCAATTAGTAGAAGCTGAGAAAGCTTATTGTCAAGCTATTTTTGATTACTACTCAACTCGAATTCAAGCATGTTTTAGAGGGTATTACTGTCGTCAGCACATTAGCAACTATTATGCTATGAAGCGATACGTGATAAAGGTGGTTCAAGAGTCAGATCGAGTACAGTGTATGGCTGAGTCAGTGCAGGTGGAGTTAAAGGCGCAGTATCGTATTGAGGCAGACGAAGCTGATGCCGCAGCATATCGGTGTGCTACTGAGCGGGCGCATCACTTGCTTTCTACAACAACCATACCTGGAGTATACGGTACTGTTCGTTGTGCGTCTGGAAGCCCTAAATCGACCATGGAAAACGGCACGTTAACTGCAATATGGAATACCAGTGTTGAAGATGACATCAAAGCCAACAATTCTCGTTTGATTCGCAGCGTAGTTCAGCAGCGCCAACAGAAACCCTCAAATATTAGTGGTGCTCTTTCTCTTTCAAAAACAAAGTGTGCATCTAATGGTATACCCAGATTCATTCACAACAAAGATCAAGAAAGGGATAACAAAAGTAGAAAAGGGCTTAAATTTCCTGCGCTTACGGGGCCTTGTGTATGCCCGACAAATTCGGAGGCACACGCCACTACCGTCAAAAGTGATGCCAACGAGGAACGGGCTGCTCGTGCACATTATTACCGACAATGCTTCAAGCCAAGCACCCGTGCTCAGGTGATGTCATGTTCGTATGAGAGGGAGGACACCCACCCCCCCGATCGACCTCTGATGCCTCCACAAAACCTCCCCTCGTCCCAGCTTGCGTCGTCTCTTGCGAAGTCAGTTTTTCGTAACGCTGAGAATGGTCAGTCTCTCTTAAAGAAGGGCGACGCGGCCCGCACCCACCTTACCAAATACTCCGACTCTTTCGATGATGAGACTGAAAACAAATTGTATTTACTGACGGCACGTTCTCCGCTAGCGCCCCAAAACGCTGTTTCAAGCCATAATCGAAAATTTCGTGTACCAGCCCATAGTTGCTTTCGTGATATTGATAAGCAGACTGACAATAGCAGGGATGTTGGAGTTGGGGGTACCGATTTGTACATACCAAATAAACCAATCTATGATACAGAGAAAGAAACGCTGCGCCGCATTGTGGACATGAAGGTCATCCACCGCTTACACAGAGGCGTGCCTTTCAAGGTTTCGACAGTAGTATCGAACGAGACAAAGACTTCGGCATTGTGGAAGAGTCATACTTGTTGAAGAGGGGGGGGAGGGGGAAACGCATCTTGACAAATTCCTTAGAAATGATGTACAATAGGGAAACATTCTTCTTGTAAGATGGTTTCCTTCTCTATTGATAGAATTATTCTTCCCCGGTTGATGTTAGTTCCCAAAAGAAATGTATTTGGTTTAGGTGCAGTCATTTGCTACATACTGATGCTATTTATTAGGCAAAAGTATTATGATGCTGTAGAGTTTACTTATGTATGATAGACAAGTTTATGTTTCATAGAAGCAAGATAGAAATTCCATAATCATTGTTTCTTTCAATTGGGTATTTTTTCAGAGTTTTCCCCTGTTGTAAGGAGTTCACCTTTTCCCCCGTAAACTTCAGAAAGGAGCCCATGTGTAAACCCTCAAAAGGATTTGTAGGTGTTGAGGGAATATCTCGACATGTCGGGCAGGCAATTCATTCCAGCTCAGCTTTACCGCCCGCTCCCAGTGCTATGCAACTCCACGACTTTCTACGCGTTTTGCGGGAAAATTATGTTAAAGATTCAGAGATAGATACGGGAAGCGAAACTTCTCTAAAACAACCTCAAAAGTCGTTATCTCCGTCCTCTGTAAAGGCGTCTTTGATGAAAACAGAGCTTGTCCAGTCTGGTGCTTATCCGACCGATGCCCGTGTGCGTAGCTGTTTTGCAGCGTGTGGGACACATTCCGTTTTGGGCTCGTTTTTGCAGTGGTTTAGTGAGGCCATCTTGATGCTTTTCACAAACGGCTTGGAGTCGGTAGCTTCTTTCCCAGAACAATGGGAGATGAGGCTGCAGGAGGAACGTGTAGGTATGTCTTCGCTACATCAATACATGTTTGAGCTGCAGGGCTTTGGGATCCTCTTCAGCTACCTGTGGTGTCGCTTGGCAATGCTGGCTAACCTTTCTCAGGGTAGCCCCGGTGCGGAAACTTGCCGAGATGATATGGAGGAAGAATTTTTTCCTCATGGAAATACTAATTGTAAATTATTTAGGAGTGTGCAAGCTGGTCATAGCAAATCAAGGCCATCGCACCAGAGAACTCATGACGTGGGAAAGGTCTCACATGTGTCATATTCCCTTTCTCAGCTTCCAATGATGGGTATACCTTTGAAAAATGAGGCTTCAAAAAAAGAGACTAAAGCTTTTCTCTGTCCAATAACGTCGTTACTCGAGCAGCGGGAGGCTCTTGAAGGCACTTCGTCCGCATGCGGAATGGAGCTTGAAGCTGTCGGACGCAGTCCAAATCCTGTTGTTCCGCAGATGCCAGCACATTCACATGTCAATTTACTCAATTTCAAAAATTCATTATCCAGGGGTAGTCATGTTACCAGGATTTGTAGTGCCGTTGATCGATCCAATGATGCCCAACCAGCGAAACCATCTATCAATCAGACGGAAGCATATATCAAAGGCTACGCTTTTACCTCATCCTCTCAGAAAAGGAATCCGGGATCAATAGTGAGAATGCCACCAGTCATAAAGCATTACAATAATTCATCTGATGTAGAGCGAGGCATAATGAAGACTAGGGCGTACGATCATGCATACACTCAAGTGCCGTACAGTGAGGACTCGCCAATCGAGTTGGCTTCGCGTCGCTGTCTACTTTTGCCACCAAGGTCAAATGTAGTCGATTGTCAAAGTAAGTCGGGGTCTCTGAAGCCGAATTCTTCTTCGGTGCGGTTTTTCCGACTTGATGACACCGCCTTCAATTCTTCTTCTAGTCCAACTATAGATCCTGTGGTAATGAGAAAGCAAGGGAAAGTTAGAGCAATGTCAATCGAGGAGTTTGAGCAAGGGGAACGCGAGAAGGCGCTTAAAAAGCTCTACGGTGTCCAGGAAATTAAGAATTATGCACATGAAAGGGACGTCAGGGACTTCATGAGGCACTTGGACGAGTTAAGAGATTCGTTGTTAAAAGAAAGTACCAACAACATGGAGCCAATTGATTGAGAGCAGGAGTATTTGCGAACGAAAATGGTTACAATATTTCTATAAACTTGAATACTTCTAATATTTATGAAGAATGCTTCGGCTGGTATGGAAGAGGTATCTTGCACCGTTTATTTTTTTTTAATTTCGAAAAGGAACAAAGGAAGAACATGTACATTCTTTTATTTGTGATTTACAAAATCATAAATAATATGATTCCTTTGATCAATTTGATGGAAATAGTACTTGGTTGTTTATTTTCTTTGATCCTTCCACAAATGTGAGTTCGAAAGTTTCCTTCAAAGTTGTATTTTCGAAGTGTTTTTAAATATTTCTTTACCTGTTATTTCACAAGGCTTGAAGTAGGTTCAGCTTAAATTACATGCATTACTATTATTCTGTATACTAACACTGATTGGTTTTGAGATAGGATGATTGTCACAAATAATTTATTTTTCTTGCTTATTTACTGGTTTGTTTGATTGTTTTGGTAGCTCTGACAAGTTTCAAACTCAAGCATTGGCTAAACATTAGCAGATAAACGTAAAGAAATTGCATGAGTGGCAGGACAGCTGTATTAGACACTGAACATGAGAAGGCGCAGATTCATTCGCAAGGTTGGTAGCAAATCTTTACACCGAAAGCGGTATTTAGTTTTATTTCTTTTTACTCTTATTATCAGCTCATTCATTTTTCGGTGTACCCAACTAGCCTTTGTAAAAGATTCTCCAGACCAGGAATCCGCTACGACGCAGTTTCGTGAGGAAAGCTCTCCTATTAAGTCTGACGGAAGGGATCCAATTGTTAATGGAGTCTCTGGAAGCGAAAATGTGATTGCTGAAAATAGTTTTCAGCACAAAGAAATGAGACGTCAAAGGAAAAATGGGCAATCTGAGGCATTTAAGCAGTACCTCTCTCTTTCATCGAATCTTAATAAGTCTGCTGAGAGACATGACTCCAGAGCTGGTTTGACGAAAAATTTCTCAAACCACTCCAGACTATTGGTCCAAACAGTAAATCTCTTAGCAAGTTCTGCTTCTTTCGTCCGCCTTCAATTGTTTCCGCACCTGTCTGTCGTTGCGCTGACAGATCCTCGAAGTGATTTCAAAGAGAATATCGGCGAGGAAGACAATGATCCGGCAGATGAGGAAAATCCCTTGGAGTGGGTCCAGGGGCCTGACCCTTTTCTAAGCTCTGCGGATAAGCATCTAGTGCCTCTTCGTAAGGTACGTATTCAGCTACTACGACAGCGTGTGGATAGACAACGCTGGGCTGTATCCCCTTTTTCAACTGCTACGGGAAACGGACGCGCATCTCGAGAGCCTGTGATATCTCTGACACCAGTGGAATCACCGCTACTCCACTTCCCCAATGAGCTCCTTGTTGAGGAGTATTTACCTGGAGACACTGGAGCAAATTCTCATCCAGATCCGGGGTATGTGGTTCCGATGGCAGTCTCAGCCGTTTCGGTGGCGCGCGATGAGCAAGTAAAGGCTGAGCTAGTGGGGCGGAAGTCAGGCGGAGCAGTCCGCTCCACTGCTACGGCAGAGCGCGGCATCCTCTTTTTCCCCCAATCAGACTTGAATCACCTTTCGGTTAACAACCCCCAGCCGCTGATCGAGGCAATCCCCGCGGAAGAAGACAAACTCTCACCTCCACAGTTACTATGGCATCCTGATAGTAACTGTGGGAATATGACTGTCCGTGTGCAGTTGTTTAAGGTAAAGCCACCGTTCGTCTCCATTGGTACCACCCAGCAGAAACTTCAAGATTCCACTCGAACTAAGGCGCTCGCGGCTTCTTTCATCCTCGATGGTGTGATACGACTCTATGGTCTGCCACGGCGTGAGGGGCCGGCACGTGGTATGCTTAGCAATCGATTGACCCTTCGTATCCCCCTTGATGGTTTCCGCTATATCGCATCCATTAAGGGCTATGACAAGGACGGTCGATCTTCGGAAGTAGGCGTGCTACCGCTCGTTTTTGTTGAGCTTGATGGATCTTCGTCTTTTTGTTCCTCCCTCCGACCGCGACAAGTAATTGGATCTCGTACAGTGGGCATACTTTGGTTTAACGGGTCTCCCTTCTCCGTTAGCACTGCCACATTGCCTTCATCACTTAGGGCCAGAGGCGGTTTCGACACCGATCCTGGCTTCACGGTTCAGCTTAATTTCACGAGCAGTGCCGCGGCAACACGAATCTATTTATTACCAGGTCCCACCGCTGCGGAGGTGCTAAAACAGTATTACACTTTGACTGGATTCCCGACGATGCCGCCTCTAATGGCACTCGGCTACCACTACCACACACGCATCCCCCTTACGAATAACGCCACTAATTTTGTGCTTGCCATCAATCGCGCCTTTTGGGACGGTCGTGTCCCACTCGAATCAATCGGTTTGACCTCTTCAACTATTAATCAGCACGGAACGTCATTAACATGGGATCATAATGTCCTCCCAGACCCGATGCATATCCAGGTAGAACTGTGGCATTACGGTCGGCGCTCCTTCATAGTGCGTGTAGCTCCTACTGTACCCATTATACAAAGCTCTCCGCTGTACTATGAAGGGCGTCGCTGCAGGTATTTCATCAGCTTGAATCCTGATGATGATACATGGTGGGTAGCTTATGCAAGAGATGGTCGGCGTAGCCACGTCATTGACTTTGTGAGTCCCAAAGCGCGACAATGGTTTAGCCGAATGTTTAAATATAAGAAATTTATAAAGTCTACTAATTTTACGTTTGTGGCGCTGCAGCACGCTGCACCAGTCCTGCTTGGAGCTCCAGATTCGACGTTGCCCATGAGTGTTGGTCACACACGTGGCATCATACATCGACAGGTACATAATGTTTTCAACACCTATGTTGCAATGGCAGTGCATTACGGTTTGCTCCATAGAAACGTCTACCATCGCCGGTCTTTCGTCACGACTGAAAATTATTACCTTGGTATTCATCGCTTTGGTGGAGTTTTCCTGAACTACAGGTTATTTTCACGAGAGGGAGTTGTCGAGGCAGCACCAAGGGGTGATCAATTATCGTCCTCGACTGCAGCGCCGCTTGTGTGCTCTCAAATAGCATGGCAGCATTTAAGGGACTCGATCTATGACTGCACCTCGTTTGGCATTATGGGGATACCCTTTTCTGGTGTAAATATAGCTGAAGGGGTCTCAGAGAGAGAGGCCATCTGGTCGGAGCTGCCACTACCAGAGAGGGAGGAGTTCCTAACACGATGGTTTCAAGCGGGAAGTATATTCCCTTTGATGCAAACCGAAGAGCTCCTTGGAGTACCTTCCAGGGAGTGGGATGCTGTGGTGTCGAGGCTTGCCTTAGCGGTGAGTTACCCAGGTGTTCGCGATGCATTAAGATTTCGCTATGCATTGCTGCCTTACCTTTACACTTCTATCTGGCGCGCGAGTGAAGATGGTAGTCCAATGCTACTAGCCTCTATCAAGCAAGAGGAAAATGAGGATATCGATAAACAGAACGACGCCTCGGTGTGTGTAAGTGTCGGAAGCGAGTTGATTGCTTGCCCATGCGTAAAGCCACTGAGTTCCTCGGCGTCGTGGCGGGAGGATGCAATTATACAGTTGCCAGATACTTTCCCAGGAGTTGAATATAGCAACTACTGGACTGGTGGATGTTGGGAAGCTGGGGCGAGAGTGTCGTTGTGGCCGGGAGTTGCCAAGGTTGACAAGAGATGGTTAGGCAAGCCCAAGTCATTCGATCACTCAGAAACGGGGAGCACGAACATCTCTGTCCGGACGGACCTCCCTTTATTCCAGCGTGTCGGCTCGATTGTGACAACCTTCCTCGCGTTAGGTGGGCAGATGGCTAGCACACGCACACCTGCCAACTACAGTCTAACCATTGCTCTCCCTAGAAGGCTTCGCACGGCTTGGCAGGACTCCTTACGAGACCCAGATAAACAGATCCCGCTGGCGAGTGGCGAAGTGTACTGGGATGACGGCACTAAAAACACACAGATACAGCCACCTTCACCGAAGGCACAATCACACCAGGAGCATGTATTATTATTGAAACAAGCTTATTGTCATGTCCGGTTGGAGTGTTACCTGAAGCGCGGCACGCTTATGCTGTCGGGTACGCAGGTATCCTCTAGCTGTGCAGATTCACTAAACGCATTGGTCTTTACTTGGAACGATTTACCACCGCAGATGGATGCATGGCTGAGGCCACTAGCGGAGCAACAGGAGAATGTACGTCATGCGGAAGATGTTAAACGTGATCGAGAGGAGGACAGAGGTCTTCACGATTCTAAGAGAAATTTAAAGCATAGTGAGGCGGATACGACGACGAGGGGTTCCCTGTACGATGCGGTCCGTCATCAGAATACTACGATTCGTGATAATCTGAACACTACGTTTCTTCTGCACTATGTAAGGTTTCTTGTAGCATCTCAAGAAGATAGAGTATGGCTTGCTAAGAGACTGGGGTGTATTGTGGAACCAAATAAAGAGGCAAATTCATTGACACTCGTCGCACGCCTTACAGCGACGCTTAGAGGGCATGAGGTAGGCGTGCCGTCCATGAAGTATAGAGTTCGTTCTTTTTTTGGAGTAAGCCCACCTACAACGGTGTCAGTTGGGGGGAGTCGATTAGATCACGTGCGTGAAACCTCTCCATGGGTCATTGAATTTTAAAAAACGAATATGTTTACTTGGCTTGGGAGAATCAAATCATCGTTTTTTTTTTGCAAAAGGATGGAAAAACTACTTGGAAAGGAAAAACTATTCTTTTATAATCATATGCATGACCTTTCATCGATAACAGCGTCGGGAGAGGGTTGTCAAAATAAAATGCATTTGAATATGGTAACTATTTTTTTCTTCTTTGGAAACTGATTTAGTGTATGGATGTTTAGAATTGCGTACTTAACTGGGTAAAAAGCAAACACAAGTTTCATAGTATACTTTTATTTCTTTCTTTATGTATCCCTTTATTTATTTTTACGTGTTTGTTGTATTTTTTCAACGATTTTTTTAGACAAGAGTATGGATTCATCTTCATATTTAACTCCTCATTCTGTGTACAACCATCAGGCTGAAAGCTTTTGAAATACTCAAATACAACAACAACAGCAACTGAACTACCATTTGCAAGATACAGCTTTCTCCCGTCCTTTTTCTTACAAAGAATATTTCTCTGTAGCTTCCAGTGAACTCCATATCTTTTTGCCCCACTGCCGTTGTTTACCATAGGTTATAAGGGTAGACACCGATACTTGCACCTGAAAAGGATAAAATTGTAATAAAAGCATCACAATAACCAATGAAGCGGACCAGATGTAGTGTATGGAATGGTGTTCTCTCACCACTCAAAGTAATACCCGCTTTTCAACCTCTACTATTCAAGCAAGACAAATTTTTATCAATAAAAAGTCGATCCGTTGAAAGATGGGTTGAGGCCTGTCAGGATATCTTGTCTCGTTCTCGCGCGCTGGAACAGAAGGTTAATGAGTTTTTTGACCTCAATCGCGTTCCCTCCACGACTGCTGCACCTCTACCCGCGGGCATTTCCAAAAGTGAGCCAACGGCAAAGTACAGTGGTGCTCCGCGTCATATCGAGGCATTGCCGTCCCATCTTGTTGAAGAATTGCAGCACATAAACAAAAAAGCTCAACGCCTGACCACTATTCAGGGCTTTGTTCTGAGCGATGAGTTGGTCTTCGGCATGTTCCACATAAATGTGATAAACGGTGACTATACCACAGCGATGACATTGTGGTTAAATTCTTACATTATTGGGGACGAACCTCGTGGACCACCATATCCACTCTTTTTGTTGCAAGATTTAACATCCATCCTAGGTGCATATCTCATGAGCTGTTTGCCAGAAAGCGCGGCCAACTTTCATCTGCTTTCGTCTTTCCCTACCCACCACGACCTCTGCGGGGTGGGTACCAACAGGGAGGAGTTGCAAAAGTTACTTGAGTATGGATGGTGCCCACCGAAGCCACATCGATGTCATAATAATGTTGCAGCGATTGATGAAAAATCAGAGTGTGGAGAACCTGATTGGTATACTCCCTTACTCTATGCAAACTCGTACAACTGCTACACACGCCACTATTTAATGCATTACTTACTACCAGTGTGGCGTGCCGCTGGTAAAATGAACCTTTTTTTCGATGAACTTCGGAGGAATATGCGGTTGCCGTCTGTGGAATCTCGTGAGGAAGAGGAGGATAGAGCGGCAAATCACGCCATAAACATGTACGCGGAGGGTGGCAGGATTCGCCCCGATAGCGTCAAGGAACATGATCGATTAGGCAGTGTATTGCCCCCTATTAAGGAACAGAATGCAGTGGTGAGGCGGCTTCTTATGTCATTCGTACCAGCTAAGTCCACGACCAACCTTGAGACTGACACGAGTGAGCTTCTAATGCCGCTCCGCGCGATTACAAAATTTTTAATTGCACTGACAGCGTGTGCGGCAGAGGCCAAAGAGCCCTGGTTATTACTGTCACTCCAGACTGCCTTTTGTGCAGGCTTCCTAACCCATTCCTGTGCTGATAATCTAGACAAACCGTATGACAACTTAAAGAGCAATCGTGTTGTTCTCAATACCGAGGCTTGGATCGGGTATCTGGATGAACTTGAGGCTGATGTGCGCGCAACTTTGATGCCACAGGCACGTGATATTCTTGAACACTTTAGCTTAGACATCATTTCTCTAATATACTATGGTAGGCAAGCATTTCGGTTGGAGCAACAGCTTTGGAATGCGCATGATGCCCTGCGATTAATAGAAGCGTCCAAGAAGCATTATCAACGAGACTCCGCATTTTCCTGGAGGCACACCGTAGCAGACTATAAATCTTCTAGCGACGTTATCGATAAAGAGAGTCCTGGACTCAAGTATCCTGCGAAAATACTAAATATGCTTTTCAGCATGGTGAGTGCTACGTTGCCTCTGGTTCCTAATTTTGAAAACGGGCATTTTGTAAAAGACGACGACCAGGCGGAAAATCTAGAGCAAGAGCAGATTTGGGCCGAAAATTCGGCTTTGATAATGTCTTACCTAAACGGTTTATCCCCGTCGAGTGAGGCTGTGGCACGGACCATACTCCACGTCGGGTCCGGGTGCCAGGATCCCAATTTTATTCATGCCGATAATCTTGGGAATCATGCTTTCCCTGTTGGTGGACATGGAAGTGATAGCGCCGAAGTCGGTGAATCTCGTGAGAAGTCCGGATGGACTCCGTTAGAACGAGCACTGCTCCTGCGCAACCTTCATCTCCAGCGGAGGCTTGCATCGTTATGCTCTCTTGACGCTAGGACTAGCAGCGGCGCCTCTAGCCAATGTGTGAGTGCTGCCGGTGAGCTCGACATTGAAGTCGACGCTCGATCGCATGGATGGCTGATGGAGCTGAGGACAGCATTGAACACACACAAAAATAGGGGAGTCTTCAGTAACGCAGGAGTAGCAGTTCCTGACTTGGATTCCGCCTGCATACGGCAGATAGTAGATAGCTTAGCGGAGCGTCTTGTATGTCTAACCCTCATAGACCTGGCTCGATGGTTGCAGACAAACCATAGGCAGCTTGAGTGCAGTCGGGGTGGTTATACAGGTGGATATGCCACACATCATCATATTCTTCAGGAGCAATTTGATGTCAAAAATGATAGGGGGGTGGATGGCGGCCATCAATTATTATCTCGTGACAATGGTAATAGGGCACATGATTCTAATGAAGATTTCACAAGGTATGGTGCGATGCGGGAAGGATATGCTTCCCGTGAGGTACAATATTTTGTGGATAGCAATGAACATAGCTCGAGTGATAATGCATATGATGTGGGGAACGCTGATGAAGCTATGCATTTTGAAAGCCTACAAGAGCTGTACGTTCCGACTGCGCTACAACACCGTATCGAATTGTTATTGAAGGAGTTGAAGCTCGCAATGGATAATAGACTGAAGGAAGGGGCTCTATCGCCACCTTTGTCATGGTACGGCTGCGTAAGTCCAGCTACTGTGTCTGTACTAGCTGTGCTTCTAGCAGGGTGTTCCACGAATTGTGCGCAACATACTGAAAACGCACAGCAAGCGTCCTATAATATTTGGAGCGACCTTGTTGACATCGCTATGTACCACCTTTCTCCTCTCCATACCAGAGCTGTAAAAGCGACGGAGAGTATTAGGGATGCCGAAGTATCTGTACCACTGTCGCCTTTATTTGGAAACTCTATTAGTATTCTGTTTCTGATGCTGGCACGAACGGCCCAGTGGGATCTTGTCGAGCGACTGCTTCGCGGGATGGAAGCGTACGATGGAGAGCACACTAGTGTTGGAGAGTATTTAGAGCCACTCAATTCTGAAGGACAGCCGCATAACGACGGGGTTCGGTGGCTGTGGTCTGGGGTGACCGTTGACCCAAAAGTCTTTTCGGAAGTTTTCAGACGTGCGAGGGAAGATGGTGCGACTGTGGTGTGTGCGATGCTCTCCCCTAAAAGGAAGTGGCTTTTTTTCTAATTTTATAGTTTTCGTATTGTTTACGAAATTGCAGCATTGTAAAATGAAGCACCCGGTAAGTGATTCTATTAAAAGTAAGCCATGTTGAATTGGAAAGGTGTTTCTTTTCGCTTCTTCACAGATTATTTCCCATTGATTGATTCAATGCCCATGAACCTAACGTACTATTTTTGCCATTATTGCATTTATGATTAGCTACATGTTGTGTCATTCTGACGTAAGGGTGGATAGTTTAAGCTAAGCACGCTGAAACTATCACACTACTACATCTTCCATTTTTTTTCATCTCTTTTCTCGCCCCTTTATCTCGTAAAGGAAAGAGTGGAGAGGTGCTCTAAAAGTAAAATAGTCTTAGGATATTCCCATGCGCCGCACCGTCGTCATCTGTGCGGCAACCCCTGAGCGGTACACAATCCTAGGTACAACCCACCCACGCCCAAAACGTACGGGCTTCGGCCGAGACAATAAGATGCGCTCCAAACCGAGTGACAACGTGGCCTGGTATGATAAGGGTCCAGTGGAGTGGCTCCCGCGTCCTGTACGCCTAACATACGACCACTTAGACCGCCTACGCGACTGGATGATGCGTGAGACCCTTGATGGTCGTACACAGGAATTCAACCGAATACGTGCGCTGCACCGAGAATGGTCCCAACATGTGTTGATGCCGGTTCTTGGGGATGTTGAGCCCAAGTTCCCGACTAACTTATTTAAACAAAATCACTGTGCCAAGCGACGCTTTTTGGTTCGCTGGCACAAGGCTAACACTCCACAACACTGGGTATGGATGCCACGTGGCCCAGCTATGGTGACCCCACTGCATCGCTCCAATCCATCGCAGTTCCCTGAAAATTGGCGGCATCTTATGCGTCACAACAGCCTGAGTGGTTCATTGCAGTCCAACGAGGGATAAGGAAAGGAGGGAATGTCTGCCTAAGCTGTATTGGGGGCGTTTCACTACCATTGTTACCTATCAATTTCATGTGAGCCTAACATGTGGGTAATGGTAACTAATTCAAACAGATTTTTTGTAAGTTTTTCCTTTCTGTGCTTACTAAAATCATAGTGATTTAATGACATTTGTAACAAGAAGAAAGTGGGTAGCAATGTATAAGACAATGAATCCATTTGTCTTTCTGATGGTCTTGAGGAGAAACTAAAGGAGCATTCGTCTTCATTCAGTTCTGTCCATGGACTGCCCTTTGGTTCTTTTTTTAGTCTTTTGCACTCCAATTTCTCCTACGTTTTGGAAGGGGAGGGTACAGTATCAATTGTATATGCTGTTAGGTATCGTACTTCAAATGCCCGTCTGCGGTATATGTGGATGAAACTTGGCTATTTTCTTTTTTCAACTGTAATATTAGTCATTTTTCCATGAGTGTAATTCCTTGTTTCCTAGTTCTACCTTATGCCTTGTGATTTACCATCTTTACTAGTTTATTCTGTGCTACATTCATAAACGGATAAAGGAAGCGATATTAACCAAGGAAAGCAAACAAGGCCACAATTCGATCAGAAAGAAAAAACAAAAAGAACGCTTGTCTTAAACTTTCCTTGATCTTAATTGGGGGGCAGAAAGCTAAAGAATCGTGCAAAAAACAGGATCAAGGCCACACATCTGCAATAACAGACACCATGCTTCGCACTCGTTACTACATGATCTTTATTTATGTATTTATTATTATCGCGATGTCTGGTGAATGCAGTTTCAGCTTTTTCGGCACTCAGTTTAAAATAAAGGTCCCCTTTGTCTCATTTGTTAATACCGAAGTAGTGAACACCACAACCGAGGATAAAAAAGTGCTACAGTATTCGGAGGCAAACGAATCGTTTGGGTCTTTAGAAAGAGCACAAAATGTCTCAAATATCAGTTATGCAGGATTTATTTTGGCCCCAACTGACATCGTTGATCTCGCTGGTGTACCGGAGTGTCTACTAATGGCGATGAGATATGCCCTTTTTAAGTTATTTACCTTTGTATCTGTCGGCGTCCTAACTGGAAGCTTAGTGATTTCAATAACTACTTTCTTCATGAACTATACGATAAAGTATGTGATAATTATGGCATGGTTTTCCACTATTTGCGTTTCAGCTTCAGCTTTTGAAGTCTTTGAACTAGTTTATCAATCAGAGTGTACGGGGACTCTAGCGTCATTTGATTTTTTTACCTCGATAAAATTTTCCAAATCTAAGTTTATATTCCATGGAGTTTGCGTTGCTGCTTCTTTGCTTGCCAGTACTTTGTCTTTATATTTGTAAACAATTATCAGATTGGAGGAGTTTATGCTCCTTTTGGTTAGTTGTTGAAACCGTCCCACACTTGGTGCTGTAAAATATGTGCGTAAATCCTTTTGATTGTAATTGTAGTTATTACTATTTTTCATATTTTCCTTTTCTCTATTTTACCCCTTTATATAACACAATATCTCACTAATCTCTCTTGATATTTTGTTCGATTGAGTGCTACTATGGTACTAAGGAAATAATACGTGAAACTGTACTAAGCTAATTGATCATTTCACCTTTAGTGGATTTCTCCACTGAAGTGTTGAACTGGCCTTGAAGGAAAATTCCTCTAAAAATCATATATACTTGACATAAGGGAAATGAATATCTAATTGTCTTATTATATGTACAAGTCTTCACCAATAACTTTCAATGTGTAGATACTTAGGAATTAAAATTTCTTAGATCTTTTAAAAATTGTATTTAGTATGGGGAAAAGGATGTATATACTTAATTGAAGATATTTTATACTTTTACGATCTGTATGATTTTTCTTATCCCATGCATGTCATGCACATAGCAAAAAAAAGATCTTTTCAATTTATTACTAGTGTTATGCTTTTTATATGATCCCAAAACATCATGCTTGTGTTTTTTTCTCCCAAAATTCTTATGCCTATTGATGAGGCAAGAACGGGACCGGGTGGAATCTGAACACACATGCGAAAACATGACATAGGTGAACAAGGGAATAATTTTTCTAACATAATAGTTAAGTATGATGTGTCGATATATATATATATATTTGTAAACTAAAATATTTACTCGAATGTTTATCTATTTTTTACTGATATTAAATGTGTAATTTATTTCTTCAAATGGCTTATAAGCTGTGTTCTAAATTCTTGAAACAAAAACCCTCATATGAACATTTGCATGTAAATAGACTCATAACGGAGAATGGATCTTCCTATTTCTACACAAAAACGTAGGTGCAGCTGATGTATTCACTACTGGAATTATTTTGTTGCCAAATCTCAATTAATATAGCACCATAAAGGGAATTGGACAATACTAGGGGTAATTATCTTTTCTACTAGGTCCCTCTGTCTTTTTTTTTAAGGGAGGAAAATGCAATATACTATTCGGTATAGCGTTTTGTTATTAAGTTTTGTCGCCTTTGTGTTCGCACTCCTTGGGACCATTCCACTACCATATTTTGTGCGTAAATTGAGCAAAACTTACTCTCAGAGTGGCGAGATCATTGTTACCCTATGGTCGATGCACACTACTAAAATCGAATTGGATAATGGCGGCACATCAGTGATCGCCTCACCCACTCCTGAGATACGCAACCATCGACTCCGCTGTAAAGAGGAGCGAGATCGCTTCATGACGCTGCAGTCATTTGCTATTATGGGAGTTGTTTTTGGGCTCTATGCCTTTCTTATGTCTTGTCTACAATGTTTCTTTTATCTAAAGGTTAAGTTGCCGTTGTTGCTTTTATTAGCATTGTCTTTCTTGTCAGAGTTTATTCTCATTATTGTTGGAATTTCCATTTATCAAAACACTGGATGCAAAGGCAAATCAAACAGCTTTGCTTCCTTTAAGGATGCTGATTACGCTTTCGGAACGTCTTTTATAATGCACATTTTATGCTGCTTCACATACATAATATGCTTGCTGTTAACTCCCTTTACGCAGGATTTATGGTGTGGGAAGCGGTAGCGGAGAGAGAAGTTCGAAAGATAACATTATCATCTGTCGTTTCGACACATCTCAAGTCGCTTCGCTGATTGTTGAATGGACAGACAAAAAGTTAATCTCTAACAATTGCACTTTTTCTTGATTTATATTGTTATACCTAAAGCGTTATTTAACGACAAAGTAAGATGCTAAAAGAAATGAAAATATAAATTACATTGTTTTTTAATCTGAATCTTGTTACTTGAATGTGAAAAGATTAGCTGCCGTTTAGTGCATCAAATTATAATATTATTATTACACATGTACATATATGGAACAAGAGGCTGAGGATTTGGTAAACTCCCTTGAAGGTGTTTGGTTTTTGAATTTCTTTTCTAACACCGAAAAATTCGACCCTATTTGAGGCCTAAAGACATTTGGGTAAAAAAAATGCCGAAGAAATTTAATGTAGAGTTTGGAAAAAAATACATAGTACATTTCTATTCAAATTAGTAAGAAAGAGAGATAAAATATAATTACATAAACAGAATTTTGTCATGTGTACGATCTCCCTTTCTTTAAAGGGGCTTTCATATGCACATGCGTTTATAACTAATCACTGTACACCATTTGTAGGTATTCCTTTTATAAGTAATCAGAAGAAAGGAAACCGTTATTTCACAGGAAAAGGGGCCTAAAATTATTGTTCTTATTCATATTTAGCTCAAAAAAATAAATACTAATAAGGTATATATATATATAGGGATCAAAATGGCAGGTCTTCGTATCGCCCTTTGTATTCTATTTGCTCTCTTCACGGTCTTAGCGTCTACCTCTATGCTGGTACCCATCTACCGTAAAGATAAGGATAACGTGACAAAAACCATCTATTACTCATGCTTAAAAACAAAAGAGAACGGAAAAACCCGCAGTCAGCGTATCTATGACTTAGATTGTGATAGCGCACGACTTCTGCATATATTTTCCCTGTACTCGAACGCTATCGGCACAGCATCTAGTGCAATGTCGTGTCTTATTTCTATAATTTATCTCTGTGTCAGATTTAGAGTATGGATTGCCCGTGTTGTAGTCCTCTTCTCCACCTTATCCTTTCTACTGTTTACCATATGTAGTGCGTGCATGTTGTATATGTTTTATGCACCCATGTGTCAAGATACTATGCATGAGCAATTCTCCTTCGAAAATAGTGACTATAAATATGACAGTGGATTTTATATGATGCTTATGGTTAGTATAGGTTCAGTCATTGTTTTAGTGATGGGTGCCTATTTGTCCGATATGCACTCATTTGAAAAAGAAGATAATGCCAACTATGAGCTTGAAGAATGTCAGTACTCTTGTGGGTCAACATACTGTCCCGAGGGATCCTTCCGAGGGAATGAATGGGAGTATTCGGAAGATGAAGTGATGCGTTTTTAAAGTCTATAGGTCGTTAAACTACCTCTCGTTGTGTAATGTCATTCATGAAAACACATTTGTATTTCAAATGTTTATACTATTTTATTGGAAAAAGTCGTAGTTTTTTTCATCCTTTTTTGTTCTAAGTCGCTCAAGGAATATGTGTGTATGAATATGTATATGTGTTTCAATTCTGAAGGAAAGCGCTTAACCTTATATTCGGAGCTTTTTGATTTTCATTTATCACTAATTGATTTAAAAACTCTAGAAAATTTCTTTATTGATAAATAAAATGATAACTTTTCTACTCTATTCACTAAATGGTGAAGTACATTAGGCTGCTTTTATTTCTTTTTTGTTTGAGCTTGACTGAATTCTTAAGACTTTGTGGTACGGAACTTGTCATTCTCTCTTTTACCTCATTTACCAGCCTTGGTGGTGTAGCGCATCGTATTTTTTCCCCTTTTAAAGGGGTTTTCTGTGTGTTTCGCCACATTTTATTTGTATATTTTCTTTAAGCGTGAAATTTCGACAATTCCAAATCATAGTACCTGAATGTATAACCTTCTAATGTGGAACAAGTTATTGGGTGTGTTTTATATCACAGTTAGATTGAAATATCTGTGATTTCAGACTAAGCGAGGAGTGTTGTAACACAAGCTGTCTACTGTTTATTTACGTGTGCAGTAACTCTTCCCTTTCTCTATTAATCCATAGATTACTCCCTTTGCTGTACATGCACACACTGTTCTTCGTGCAGCGATATTCCGAGATTCTTATTATTGGCGTCTTACCAATATAAGCATATCTTTTTCAGGCAAACTAAACATGGCTATCAACAATCCATTTTTTACAGAATCAGCAACAAAAGTGGTGTTCGGGCAACGCAGTAGGCTTCCATGCTCAATAATCCCTGGCTGAAGAAAATATTTGCATTAAATAGAGTCTGCAGGAATGGTGTGAACCCCATGACGACTTTATCGGCGATATTAGAAATAATCCATGCCTAAAACACAAACAAGCTGCGAGGTTGCAGTATGTTGACTTCATTTTTATTCTCTGTTCTTTGGCAAATTGATCGATAGTAATTTCTTTCTGCTTTAGAGGATTTAAAACATTTAAAACACTTATCTTTTATTTATTTGCCAATAAATACATTCAAAAATAACATTGTTTGCATGGATTGTACATATTTGGGTTTTCGATGTCCTTTAAATGAAATGCCCGTTTTGTTACGGTATCAAGCGCAAGGTCACAATGCGTGAGATGAACAAATTAAAGGTTTCTTCTCTCATTTTAAAGGAATAGAGACAGCAGTTGTGTATTACTCTTCTTTATTGTCACCGGGGTTTCTATGGCTGTTATTTGCAGCGTGGGGTGGTACTGTAGCGTGAAGCCAAGTGGAACTTACGCAGCCAGATTAAGGACTCAATACATATAAATAATATTCCCCTAAGCGATGACTATGCAATAAAAGGTGATACAAGAGAGAGCTTTTTCCTATTCAAGAGTGTTCCACCTCTTAAAGTGAATGTCTTTTTGTTTTAATACGATGAAATCCAATTCTTTCCTCCCTCACTGCCACTTGTTTTAGTGCTTCACAGTTATGTCAATGATGAAGAGAAAGTAATACTGGTTAAGAAATAAAGCTAATCAAAAGGAAACTTTGCATCACGCAAATCATCTGATAATGGCTTGAGATAAAAGAAATTCTGTTTTGACTCAACAATACATCTTCTTTTGCGTCGTATCTTCATCAATAATCATTATTTTCGAGTAGACAGACGGGAAAACAATACGTGTCTTATCTTGGGAAGTACGATTTTTAGGTTTGCCGCGACAAGTGATACAATGCCTTCTATTTGCGCTAATCTAAACCATGTTAGGCCTCATTATATCTCTGACAGCGTCTACACTCTCGGTACTCTTAGCTGTTCTGTGTGTGGTCATCCCTTTCCCATCAATTCATGCGCGCGAGTGCAAATGAGCTGTGAAGCTTGTGGCACCTTACACCGAGACACAAATGCTACAATTTCACATGTGCCTTCGGTGTCATTTTCACATGCATCTGCACTGTATGCAGCGGCTCGCCTCTTTACGCAAGACACGATCAATGCGTTGGTGTCCCACGTGATGTGTTCCCTCAATGTCAATGCTAATCCAACATGTGGTGAAGGGACTGCCGGCGAGACAGTGGATGGATCTCCAGTTCAAGGCAAGATGCAGGTGGGCATTACCGAGATCGATAATCGTGTCATTGAAGAGGCTCTATGCGAGGGCTGTGGGGAGCACCGCCCGTGCAAAACTTTCGCGCGGCAAACTCGGAGCGCAGATGAGGGACAGACGATTTTCTTTCAATGCACAGTGTGCAAATTGGAATGGCAACAAAATTCTTAGTATGTGTTACTATAGAAATTCAAGCAAAGGAGTAGTTCCTCATCCAATCTTTTCATCACTGAATAAAGTTATGGCGAACGTAGTTCTTTCCTAGATCGCTGCAAACGGAATTCAGTTTCGTTGTCTGGGTGTACATTAAATTTTAAACGAGTCCTTGTAGTGAAAAATAAATATTAACGACCTAAAGGCTTAGCTCCACTCACTGTGTGGGCACTGGGTAGCGATGTGTAACATGTAGAAACCATCGTGAAAAAAGGGGTTTATCAGTATTCCACGACTATTCAATACCTTTACGCTCCTTTGCTCTTTGTTTTCTTATGAAATTTCCTCCTTGGAATAGTTAGGTAAGGGAGACTAAGTAGCTTTTTCTTCCTCGTTTATTTTGATTATTGTTTGCTAAAGTTTAATTGGGGCTTTCATCCCAGTCGGCCTGATGACAGATTTGACGTTTTCAAATGATTTCCCAAAACTCTTAAGGCCACTCTCGAACAGTAGAGCCTCTTCGAGGATAGCTATAGCAAGAAGTCTTTCGCAAAGACTGAGTAATGGGGCTGGAGGGGCGCGCACGGGCCATGACGGTGGAATGACACCGAAGAACTTACTGTCAGCCACATCTCGCGTTCTGGAATTATGTCAGACACCTTTTAATGCGCAGATCAACTTTATTACAGCGAATCGCGTCGTGGCGGTCCTTGAGAAGGCAGTGCAACGGCTGCAGCTACTAGCTCTATTGGATGAGAGCGCACCGGGTGGCGACGTCCCGATCAACAAGCACGAAGCCGATTCACTCAGTGGCGTTGGCGCTGATCAAGAAACAGCGGTGCCAAATGGGACTTCCAAGATTTCGATCTATTCACATAGCGGCGGTGTCGAAAGTATGACTGCGCTGCGTGGGGCGGCGCTTTTCACACGGAGTGGCCAGCAGATCGATGGTGCCGCTGCGATGCACTCGACATATTCTGCGGTGTCCGCCGCACTTGCTGAGTCAGCTAAGGACACCTACCGCGGTCGCCCAACCGTTGCTGAGCTTCTGAAGGAGCAACAGCAGCTTGAGGTACGCTATGAGGGATTTCTTCGTGCCTCTCGGCTCATGACTCCATCTACTGAGGCTAGCCTGAGAACAAAGCAGATATTTGGTCGCACAGGTGAATTCGAACGAGATGAACTACAGCATGAGCTCATGCGTGTTTCGGCAAAGCTGCGCGAGCATCGCCGAGTCCTTTGTACTCAACTCAAGGACAACCCCAACGACGTCGATAACTGGCGTAAGATCTCCAATGAACGAGAGGAACTGATCACGCTGTTGAAGGACACAATCACAGAGCTTACGACTGGGTACCAAGAATCAACGCGCTATTCTTCTCAACGCGGGGGCATTCATCAAACAGGGTTAGGGATGGGTACTTTTTCCAATTCATGTCAGCAGTTGCCAAGTTTATGTCGATCTATGAGTGGGACCTCGATGCGTTCGTTCGGAAACATTCAAGGGGCGCTTAAAGATGACCTTTCAGAAGCACCTCCTTCCCGTCTTTCACATACAAACACGCTGCACTCAACACTCTCCAAACGCTTCGGAAGCACAATGCAGATGCGGCGTGCTGTGAAAAATGTTCCCAATCAGCCCCGTATCCCACTCACCTCGTCCTTTCTAGGCTTCACACAAAAGGTACTCCAGGAACAGGCTGCGCAGCGCTGGGCTGATGCGCTAGTTCGCAAGCAAAAGGAGCTTAACCAAAATGTGAAACAGCTACAGCAGAACATGGCACAAGAGCGTAGTCTCAAGGAGTGTGAGCTGACTGAACGGCGCGCTAAGATATCAGAGCTGCGTCTCGAGCTGCGTGAGAAGAAGCGTGCTCTAGAGGAACGCACGTTAGAGGCAAAGGCAGCAATGGAGGCTGCTACAGAGGGCCAAAAACGCAGAGCAGAGGAGGAGCAGCGAGGGGTGACTAAGAATATGAAAACCAACCAAAAACTCCTCCAAGTGGAAAGTGACACACATAAAATGTACGTTGAGTTTCTTCACAACCGAATCCAAGAACTGGATGCGATGGGTGTGGATTGGAGTCGCAAGAATCAAACCAAACTCAAGTGGGTAGAGGAACTGAAGCTCGACGCGGAGCAAACGCGCCAGCAGTGCTCGGAGCGACTACGCGACTGCGAGGCAGAAATGGAAGTGCAACTCACCCTTCAGACACAGCGCGAGGAGAAGCACCAGAAAGAAGTAGCAGCTACTGTCGCGGAAGAGCAGAAACGAGGCGCAGCGTACGAGGCAGCGTCCAAGCTTCAATCAGCCATTCGCGCCATGTTTACGCGACTAGCATTGAAAAAGCTGAAGAAGGGCGGAAAGAAAAAAAAGAAAAAAAACTAGGCCCAAAGAGTACCTTTCAAAGGATCAATCTAACAAAACTGAAATATGCATGGATAAGACAGCCCCTAAAAAGGGGTATTAAAAGGGTAAATGCGCCACATACATATTTCACTGGCCTATGAGCTGCCTTTCCCTTTTTTCCTTCAAATTTGCATAAGACGGAAAAGGTCTACTTTCTTGTGCCCGCTCCTTTCTCCTTGATGTACAACAGAATATTTTATCGTTGCTGTTGCCAATTTTTTTAACTACTCATGTAAGAGGGTTGAGAAACCCTAAACTGTTTTTGGTATAGACGAAATCTGCAGAACAGCAGCAGAGATAAGGAGGATGAGAGATTTTCTACGTGTGTAATTTTTTTAAAAAATATATCGACGTGGATCTTGTTTATGGCATGATGGACTGCGATGGCTACCCCTGTTCTATAACTCTCTACCCTTTCATGTTTCGTTACTATTGTTATTAATTGTTTTTGTCTCCTTCCTTCATGAGGCGCTATTGAACGGAAAAAGAAGAGGTCTCGTACGAAACTCTTTAAAAATAATGGGAAACCCCTACAGATTGACCAGTAAGCGAACCCAAAAGCTAGTAGGATACGATGTGCTGCACGAGGGTGAACCCCGTGTCCGCCCAGATCCTGTTCAACGGTCACCCCTTTTCACAGATCATAATCCGCGATTGAACAGAAACACAGACTCTACAGAGCCACTTCAGCAGGCTCTAAGAGATAAAGAACTTGAGAAAATTGCCAACCTATTTTTAAGTAATGCTCCGTTGAGTCAAAAGGAGACGGTTGCCCAGCATGAGACGATTATGTCAGGATCCCCACCTTCAAACCGGAAGCAAAAGAAGACTAAGCACAAAGCAATGATAATAAAAGACGCAAATCTGACAAGTGTGGAAGATAATATTCGTTCATCATTGCCACTATCTTGTGCAGTAAAACTTCGAGAGAAGAGAAGGTTAGGTAAGTCTAATAATTCCATCAAAAGTTGTAAATCCAAAGGACGCGATAGGATCATTGAAGATGTAATACTTGCCTCATCGAATACGGAAAGTGGTGGTCATAGAGGATTTTTTGTTGATCTCGAGGGCGGTGGCAATGCCTCAGAGGAGAACCTTTCGCGGCAGGTTCTGCAACAAGCAGCAGCCTTCCTCACGAAGTTGAAGCCTATCGACCGCAGATTCCTTTGGGACCACCGTGAGGTAGCGCAAGGAACGCACAATGGCAAAGATGTATTCAAATTAAAGGCTACGAACAAAGACTTTCTGAAGGGAATGCCAAAAGAAAGTGTAGGGGGCCTCTGTAGGACTGTCCGCAGAAATACTGTTGTTGATGCTAAACCCTTCATCTCTCTAAAGAAGGGCAGTATTGTGCCGAATGACGATTGGATAGGTTCCGAAGTTGATACTGATAGCAGCAGTGATCCTTCACTTGTTTCTGATAGTGATTGTGACATAAAGGAGGAGCAAGGAGATTTTGATGGTGATTTAGAGAGTGGAAACGGTAATAAAGGCACTCCGTTGCGATCTCTGCGTAACCAAAGTCAGAATGGGGGACGTCTGTTCACTGGAGATGATGATATGTGGAGTGATTAGAAAAGCCCTCAGTAACAAGGTAGAAAAATACCTGCAATAGTGGCTGGAAGTATTAAAGAACAGCTTTAAACCTTTATTGTCGCATTCTGTGCAATGTGGTATTTTTTCAACTCTTTTGTTGATCCAACGTGTGCATATAATGTGTGGATTTGTGATCTAACTGAGACTAGGACTTTTTACAGAATTTTTTTCTTAGCTATACATATTGCATACTAAGCAACGCGTCAATCATATATCCATAGGCTTGGGTATTATGCATGTCGAATTGGGAATATATACACAAGCAACCATTGATGGTATTATTCACTATGCGGTAGAACTCTCGCTTATCACCATTGGCGGGATTGCAGCCTACTTTGCGACACTATATTACATCCCTTCAACTGCACAGACTCTTTTTCGGCGCAATCTTTTCGGTATCGACATCAACAAAACCACCCCTCAGGAGCGCCAGTTGCTTGCGTTGAAGCGTAACGCCTGTGCCAACACCCCTGGTGCAGTGGAGGACCTTAAAAAGAAGTCTGTACCGGAGTCGCTTGGAATTTTATCGGGAGCAGTGTATCTATCTGTAATTATCATATTGATTTTCTTGTTGCAAGATGATATATCAGGTATTTCTGGAGCATTCACAACCATCTCTGTTATGTTATTGCTAGGGTTTGTTGACGACGTTTTGGATGTGCGCTGGCGTTACAAAATTTTTCTTTCTGTCATTGGCTCACTGCCGTTGATTATGACATACAGGGGCAGTACCACCATCCTAATCCCACCGGTCCTCGCGCATTATGTAGAAACCATGTGGAACTATGTCTTATCGTCGATACCGAATAATTCATCGACGTTTCTGCAGCGGCGGGTGACAAATTACCATTGGGTACAATACCACCAAGGTCATTTGCTGCTTGCCCTCGGGCCCTTTTATCTTTTCTACCTTTCTATGTTGTGTGTCTTCTGCACGAATAGTATTAATATATTGGCTGGCGTAAATGGTGTCGAGGTGGGGCAGAGTGTCGTCATTGCCGTTGGCTGTGTGATTCACAACTTGGTGCAGCTTGGGTTAGCAAACGTTGCTGAGGGGGATCCTAAGCAAACAAAGAACCATGAACTATCGTATCTGTATCAAATACGCGCATTATTGCTTCTTGTTCCTTTTATCGGGGTGAGTATGGGTTTGTGGAAGTATAATCATTATCCTGCAAGAATTTTTGTCGGGGATAGCTACACTTACTTCGCGGGAACCGTTCTTGCGGTTGCAGGCATCATGGGAAGATACAGCAAAACGCTTCTTCTTTTTTTCACACCACAAATTATTAATTTCATAATTTCTCTACCTCAACTATTTAATATTGTAAGTTGTCCAAAACACCGCGTGCCCAGATGGATCCCCTCCAGGGATGTCCTTACTAATAGTCGTAACTACACATTACTAAACCTGATACTAGTTGTGTTTGGCGACATGCACGAAAAGACATTGACAACAGTAGTGATCAGTCTTCAGATCATCACCACCGCATTGAGCTTTATTGTTCGTTACATTGTCGTTTCTTGGATGTTCGATTGTGTCTAGTCATCATTTTGTGAGACACCAAGAATGTACTGGAGTACAACGGCACAATATCGTTATCTTTCTTTATCTCATTTCCTCATTTTCCATTTGTGACTCTGCGAGGGTGAAAATTTGAACCAAGAGGTGACACCAGCAATCATGAATGGTTACTATAAAAGCTTATCCAATGCTTTAATCGTCAATAACAGTAATTACTTGGTTGTTTTATTTTTACTTTCCTCGATGAAGCTGCGCGTTTTAATGTGATGTCAGTCTCCAGCTTCACATATTGGGCTTTGAAACAATGATAGGGGAGGGAGGATCAAAAGCAGTGCACCGGAATGTAGGTCTGGGTTGATGACTGTCATTGTCTTGATCTGAATCACATATATCGATGATTCGTGGGATTTTTAAGGCTACTATGGTGTTACAATCAAAAATGTCTGAGGAGAAAACTACTTCCACATATTATCTACCTTTATTAAGTTGGATATCAGTAACTTGCTGTAGTGGGAAAGGGAAAAACGAATAATAAGAATCTAGAAATTTCTTATTCAATCTATTCTAAATTTCAATCAAAATTGAGGAATTTGAGAGAGTATTTTCTCCATCTTGATAACATTCGATGATTAGTTAGGAAACACAAAAACATAGTCGCAGCCTTCCCCTCCGTTTCTGCGTTATATGTAATGGTGGTGTGGTGAGTTTAAAATCAAATGATATGTCCATTTTTCATATTTTATGTATTATTTATTAATTGTTTGGATTTATCTCCCCATCTTCAGCTCAAGTGGAGGTAGGATTCTATAGAGGTTCCTTTTTATTCCATGACACATTGCAAAATTTATAAACTGAAGATTATATATGATAATGTTTATTTTCTCTTTCATAAACTAAGCTCCCTTTAACATATCTGAGGCAGTTGTATATTTTATTGTAAGTGTATTATACAACAAATACAAGATCAAGGTAGGCAGCCTCACACACAAAATAAAGGCGGAGGTTCCATTAGTCGCTTTGAAATGAAAACGAGTTCGCTTGCGGTGATGGGTGCAGGCAGTCACAACCCTGGTGATCCCTTTCATGTGAAGGGTCACGTCTTTAGCGACTATCATTTCTCCAGCTATGTTGCCGCAGATACGCTAATTACAGTGGTGCCGCGCTTTTCGATGCGACGCGTAACTTGCATAAGTGGACACTATGGACCTTTTTCACCAAACTATCCTGTTGAGATCCCACTGTGGCTGGCGCTGCACCTGCGCCAGACGGACACGTGCGTTATCACTTTGCCCTCGTACTTGTCTCTAAGCCATCTCAGTGATGTGGTTGCACGTGAGCAAAGAAACGACAATACTTTTGAACCCCTCCCATTTTTTTTTTTTGAAGTAGCAAAAAACTTATGCGAATTAGCTCACGAGGACGTCCCCAATGTGGCGGAAGTCATACGGTTAGTTCGCGAGCTTCAGTCCATGCGGCAGCGCAAACTCCAACAGAGCATGTCAATATTCGAAGCCGAAGGCACCGCTATGTTTATTCCAGGCATCCGGCTAACCCATATCGTCTCTGCAGAGTTACACTATTTAAGAACCTCCTTTGCTGTAGTTCTGAGGCAGGCTTGCGAGATGGAACAAAAGCGTTCGCAGGCTCTACGCATGATACCGGTATCTGCTCTGCAGCCAGCTACTACACTTATGCGGTCGACAGCGACCTCAACAGGTGCAGACGGTCTTTCGGAACGCCTTGAAGGTGATATCCGAATTTCACTTACTTCAGCATCCCCTACTATAGACTTGACACCTGCTGTCGTAGGTGGGGATACTGATGGGCCCGCTCTCGAGTTCCCAGACTCACATAGCGTAACGACATTGGCAACGAGTAGCACGACGGTTCATGAGGTGCCGCTAGGGCAGCCACCCGTCAAAAAGAGGCGTACTTTACGGCAAACTTGAAAACAAAATTTTACAGATAAATGTTGAAGGGACAGAAGCCTCGAGTTCCTCTTTGTTTGGTTTTAAAATTAGTGGTCACGTTTTCACAAGAAAATTGTGCTTGAATCATTTGTTTCAATGAGTCTATTCTTAGGTAAATGAAAATCATCGATATAATTTTTAATGCTTTACTCTATTCCCCTAAAATATTTCTCGCAGAGTTTATCATAACATTCAAAGAAAATTTCCCAATTCTTACTCGATTCTAATTGTTTCAATTTTTCCCTAAGTAGGTCTAGATAATCCTCAATATATTCAAAATATAACAAAAATCAAATTCCTTTACTACCACAATTGAATTATTTCCTACCCTAGATTAAGGGTAAGAATTCTAAGAGAGACCCTTTTTGACCATTTTCGTTTCGTTCCAAATTTGCGCCCATAGTTCTAATTTTTATTTCCTACGCTCAAAGGTAAGCGAAGTCATCATGGGAAGAAGCGATGAAAATACCTAAAGAATTACATCAACGTGTGGTTTGCAGAACCGACTCCCGTTTGGAACTATACCGCGACAAGCAACTCTATCCGGGTAATGTACTGTGCGTTATGATACATTTCGTACTTCCTACCGCTACGGACGTTTGTGCTCTCAAGATAAAGGTGTAAGGTCGTGGATGAGCCTATGCTTCTGATCGGTTTATCATGACCACGCGCAGTGTCCTATGTATAGTGTACTACGGGCAGCATGCCGTCCTGATGCTCGATATGAATTTATTGAACGCGTCGACATACCACCTGTTTTGTGAAAAAGATTACATCAGCAATGTCAATTTACCTGGTAGTGCTTCCCATGAAAAAGGTAATCATGAAGATGTGGAATGTTGTTGTCGTGTCTCTGGCGAGTCCATGGCTGTGAAATTACGGCCTAAGGCTGAAACATACACACTTTCTTTGAAATTTCTTTTTCATCTGTCTTACCATCATCCTTGAATTTTTTTATGATAATGGCACCGTTAGGCTTCAGTATACTGTGGAGGTGGAGTTGAAGTACATGCACGGCGGAAGTCTGTCTACGGTAAATTTTACTGTTTTGCCGCTACCGCTGCACCGTTGACTATGCATGTACACGCACGGTAGTATGTATATGAATACAACCGATGGGGAAGCCAAAAACGTCGACTACATGGTAACCTCAATTGCCGACAGTCAAATTACAGCGGATCTAAACTGTAGTGAAAGTAGAAACACCAATGAAATACAAAAAAAAATAGCAATCAAGCTCTGAGCTATTATCTGGACCATCGGATTGCATTTTCTGCAAATGTGCTAGATCGTGAGGACACACGAGGTATCAAGCCGAGCGGGCATGCTAAATGGAGCAATGTTTAAAATGAGCTGTTATGAAAGTGCAAACACGGTCGTGGTTCGGTAAAGAAAGCTTTTGGAAAGAAGTAAGTTGGGCCAATAACATTCAAAAAGATACGTTTGATGTGAAGAGTGAAAAAGGGCGTTTTTCGGATCTACAAATGATGTAGATGACCCGGTGTCCTTTCCTTGGGCACGACCAAAACTGTCTCACCTTTGGATGTTGTCACCCTCGAGAAGAGGGGAAATACAAATCATGCGGCTGCAGTCACACAAGCCGAACGAGATCAATTACAGCAGACGGCGCGGTTGCCCATTCTCCATGGCGACTGGCAAGCGAGAGCCCCACGCTTTCTATTTGGATCAGCTTAACAAGCAGGAGTGAAGTCCACTTTCATTGAGACATTATTGTACTTATGTCAGGAAAAAACTACATTCGCCTCTGTGTCATATTCGATAATTCACATGGTACCTGCTCCATTCACAAAGTCAAGTGCTCTTTAGTGACGCAGCGCAAGGTACAAGGTCAACAAAACCTCGTTTATTAAAACTCTCAACAGACAAACTCTCGGCGGTAAGATTCGAAAAGGTGAGATAGTGAGAATGCCGGATATTGAACTTGCTGCCCCTAAAACAGCTCCGATCAGCATTTTCACGAACGGACTTTAAACTAGAACATTTCTCAGTGTACACATATGCTTAGACACTTTCCTCAAGACCTTTTCACGGTCTGTAGAAATGGAAGTCTTGATCGTGGATGCAATTGATGACATTAGCTGCAGTGGGCGTCCGTGCCACTGGAAGAACAACTCTATGGGGCATGGCTTGCACAATGAGAAGGAATTTGGCACGCCAGCCGTACACTTAGGGAACAGCATTTTCAATTCTATGAGACCTGTTGAGCCTCTTTCATTGCGCAAGAACTAAGATAGTAAAGCGCTGGGATTTAATAGAACTACGCTTAAAATGCTTCCCAAGGTACAATCTCCTTTGTCGTATAACAGATTTATTAACACCTCGCGTAGCACGTGGGCCCTTCATGCCATCATCTCAAGCTTCAATTCAAAGAAATCCATTGGAATCAACTTTGAAGACGCCATATATAAATCATTCCTTGAAACATCTCGGTTTATAGATCAGATTGTCAGTCTTAATCCGCTAACCGTAACGCAGATTGTGTCGTCATCTGAAATATCTAGATTTGGGAGTGTTCTTTTCAGGAAAGCGTAATTCCCCCCGTTAGTTAGTTTGTTTTGTTGTACTTATTTTTTCCCATTTTTATCGGCGTTTCATTATTGTTGCATTCTCTGTAGTTCTACTCCATGACGCATACACAAAATAGGTGCTGTCATGTCAAATGAAGGGATTACTTTCTACTTTAGCCGTTGTTGTTTCTTTTTTGCGTGCTCCAAGGCTATTCGCTACAGTAAGTACCACCCAAAATTCATTAAGGATGTATATATATACGATCCTCAATGAAATCACAGCCGATTCGTTTCTTTTCTTCAGGTATGAATTTCTCCTCCTTACTATCAGGTAGAATTTTCTGGATACTTGTGAAACAAAGAAATAACTACTGAAAAATACTCTTATTATTCCTACTGTAATGCGCTTATGGAAATTATTTTTATGAAGTATATGACTCATTGATGTATTGTATATTGCTCTGCATGTTTTCCTTTTAGGGGTGGGGAGAGATACATGTAGTAAGAAGAAGGAATGAAACCCAACTCTCGTCAGCTGGGTGTACCTCCGATATCGACACCTTCACCTTTTATCCTATGGGACGGTCAAAAGATCTTTGTAACATGACAATTTGAAGTATCATAACTGCTAATCTAAAAAAATCGTCGGTGCTATAACCATTTCTAGTTTTTTAGCTTATCCTTTTTCTGATAGAATCTTACGGCGCCTTTTATAGAAGCTCATCTTTTTCTTTTAGCAACTCTCTAAAATGGTGCCTTGCAAGAAAAATAAAATTCCCTGTGGAGAGCCTACGGTGCTCGGTGAGAATAATTTTGTGTATTACTAACTTCATTACATGTTATTCAACGATTATTATTTCACGTAAAGGGTTTTGTTTTACAGGATTATAAAAGATCGCCAGAAGTGCCCTTTGGAAATTGCGACGAGACGACATTAATCTTAACCCCATTTTCGTATTTATTTTTCTTAGATTGCCGTAAAGTTCCAAAAAGTGAAGTCTTAACTCAAGTTAGAAAACATACGCGTCTATATAACAGCCTTAAATACAGGGATATAAAAAAGAACGGGAGTTTTTTTAAAATGGCATCTTTCGAGCCCTTTCGCGTGGTTGGAAGCATCTGTGGCAGTGTTCCCATTAGCTGTACGATGCTCTATGGCACACCAGTCATGATGGTAGCAGCCGGTAGGACCTTTAATCTTTTCAAAGGTAAAGAGCTGCTGATGATTCGTGGTGGGCCAATCCTTCAGGAACCTTTGCGAGCTGTCGCTCAGAGTGGGAAGTATCGCTTTGCCGCAGAGGGCCCGCGGGTACACGCATGGGTCCATCACAAGTTGCTTTGGACAGTAGTTCACCAAGATCTGACGCTCCCAAGCGTCATACATCTCCTGGCACAGGATGATCTGCTTTTCTGTCTCGGTGACGACAAGCGTATTGCAGTGCGAGTGATAAAGACAGGATGCCTTATACAGGAAATTCTTATCGGGAACAACGAGGACGCCACCACAATGGCATTACTCCCTGGTTACACCAACAAGCTTCTCGTGGCTACCGTGCAAGGGTCCTTGCATATTTATAACTACAAAACTGCTATGAGTGTGTGGTACACTCGTGCAGAGGCGTCTCATCTTGACACCTATGCACCCATTCTTTCCCTGGCCTGCAGTTTCCATAAGGATATTATTGCATATGGCACAAGTGATGGTAAAGTTGTGGTATTCAATGTGGGCTCTGGGGAAAGCATCACAACATTTAGGCATAAACAGGGTGCCGTTACAGCCTTGGCCTTTAGAGCGGATAGGGATCATCTTTTAATGTCTGGCACAGGCTTGGGAGAGATTATTATATGGGACTTAAAGAACCGTTGTATGGACGGTGCTCTGACGCGAACAAGGCAGGTGCGAAGCGATATCGAGGTGCTGGAGACACCACACTTGGCTGCGGTACACTCCTTGATTACTTTCCTACAGCCTGCAGACGTAACGTTCGTGGTGACAGGCGGCGCTGACAATGCTCTGATGGAATTTCGTTTTGACACCGTGGACGGCCTAGGATTGTTTGTCCGGGAGCGCCGCGGCCACATGGGCAGCTGCACAGCTGCGGCTTTCTACAACAAGGACTTGCTGATTACAGCCGGTTATGACCGTGCAGTGCGCATAACACATTTGTTTTCGGACCGCGCCTCGTGGGAACTGTCGCAAGGAAAGCTGGGAAAGAAAGGCCAAGAGAAGCATCTGGGACGTGAGGAGCTAAAAGTTTCACCTGCCATTGCCATTGCATCGTGTTCAGCACGCAACTATCAGTGGGCTAGTGCGGTGACACTACATCAAGGTTCTGCTCAAATGTGTGGTTGGCGTATAGACACCCGTGCTTTGGAATTTAAACTATCAGGCATTCAAGCAGCCGATCACACGGCACGTGCGGTGGCTATGTCTGAATGCGGTAACTTCGCCGTGGTGGGCTACTCCAGTGGTAACGCTGTGGTGATGAACATCCAAAATCGAGGTCTTCGCCAACTCTTCGATCCTGCTCTAGATGGTAATCGAAGTCATGACAATAGCGTAGAGTGTGTCGAGGTGGCATGCAATAACACCACCATTATTACAGCTGGATTGGATGGGGTTTTCAAGTTGTGGTTCCTTTCGAATGGTGAACTTCGACAGTCCGTGTCGACTGGGCAGGCAATGACGAAGTCGTGCGTGCATCAGGACTCATCATTGTTTATTGTGGCACAGCACTATACAATTTCTGTGTATCATTGCAATCCAGAGCTTGTCGTGGGACACACGGCGCTGCACATTCCGGTGCGGACACTAGTGGGTCACACAAGCCCAATTACTGCAATGGCTCTTGCACCGGATTCGTTCCGCTACGTTGTTTCCGCATCTGGGGATGGCATGTTGCTTGTGTGGGACCTTGCAGCTGCAGCATGCGTTGGTCAATATCGTTTGAGCTCACCTGCAGTATCTATCAGTTTCCATCCAGACGCCCTTTTTCTTGCAACCACACACACTGGTGAATGTGGCACTTTCCTGTGGGTAAACAATTTGCGCTATGGATACGTTCCCGAAGTTATTCTTAATCCAAATGAAAAAAAACTAGACCAACTCCCGTGGATGCACTTTCCTATCACGCAGGATCCTAATGAGCGCTACTTACATGGCGAGTATAACGAGCACACGCAAAGGGGAGAGGTTGTAAATAATCAACACGAAATTGACAAAAGGGCCAACCCATGTGCTGAGGTTAAGTATTTTGATCTTCCACCTGACCTTACCCCAATGCAGCGGAAGGTGAATCATAGGAGATGGGAAGCCTCAGATCACATCCAAACAAGGGGCTTACGTCTCTCTGGCGTTCCTCGTCGCATATGGTACAACCTGACCGTGTTGGATCTGATTAAAGAAAAGAATCACCCCATTCTCCCACCGAAGAAAAAAGATGTCCCTTTTTTTCTTCCAACCGTGCAAGAATTACGGCCGACTTTCGTTCTAGTTGCCTCCAATCATGACCCTTTGACTAATACAGAAGTGTCTGCTGTTGATGAACAAAAGCCACAAATGGTAAGAGCGAATATCCATTCACTCAACGAAGTTCAGGGAATGTTAGTACATGGCGAGTTTGATAAGCTCATGCACTGCTTTTTAGGAAAAAATAGCACTCAAGACATTGATATTGATATCCAGCAAGCGATAGGTTTTGCTGACGGTATTGATTATGGACCATATGAATTGAACAATATGAAACAATGTCTACGAGGTCTTCTGAGATTTTTTGCAATTTGGATTCATCAGGGCGAAAACATCGAATTAATTCAGGGCATCTTGGCAAACGTACTCAGATTTCATCCCACAATTCTAACACGATTCAGTGAAGAATTGGCGTCAGAAATATTAGTTTTGGCGAAAGAACAAAATGACCTGCGTTATAAAATAGGCCACTTAGTATCATATCCTAGCTGTCTGGCCGGAACATTTACAGGCTCATTTTTTTAAAGAAAAGGGGCCTTGATTAATATAAATTATAAAGAATAATAAATAAAAATATTTCGCCAAAAAGGTAAATAACCTCTAAATTTAAAATCAAACAAATCGAGGGAATATATAGTCCCACACAAGCACTTTCTTAATAAACGCCAGGAAATAAACAGACAACAGCCGATATCAGCGCGGCCATCCACAGGCCTGTGTGCGGTTTGGACATCCGGTGTGCTTGCAGCGCCGGCAAACGTGAACAAAGCGTCTAGCTGCTGGTGTGTGGATGCGGTTGTGGGTGTGGATGCGTGTATGTGGATGTGTATGTGGGTGTGTGTCGATGTGGATGTGTGCTTAGTTGGTAACGTGAGTGCGCTGCTATTGCGGCACACAACACAACACAAGCGAGTGGAGGGAAAGAGAGGTGGATTGCTCAGGCAACATTCAGATGCGCACCATGCGCCCATGCAACTCGGCTACGGCGTCCTGCAGCGCCACACCCTTCGACGTCTGCGACATTCGCACCGGTCATCGTAATATTTCCTCCGAATTCACAATCACACGCACACAGTCGTCGTAGTAACAAAGGGCCCTATTCAGACCAAACTAAGGTTAGCTGTGTTAGCATGATTACCGTTAGGGGATAAAAGGGTATGGAATCGGATTACCGTATAAATATCTGTTATATCAGGAAATTAATACGTTTTAATTGCTTTAAACACTAAAAAAGAACGTCACGTACTTACTCCAGCACTGGGGACGGGATATCCAAGTGCTTGCACACACCACTCTCCTCGTTTTATTTCCCCTTAATCCGCGGGTGTGCGCCTCACACCCTTGTCCCTCGCTGCCACCGTTCCCGATTAGTATCGCGTAATGATATATTGGTACAACATCTCCACTGACTTAGGTGGTGGCTTCCTCACTTTCGATAGGACGTTATATAAAAATCGCAGGTGTGAGGGAAATAAGTACCGTGTGTCCGAAAAAGAAAACAAAGTACATATAGGAATATAAATATAAATAAAAAAGGAAAGAGAGATTCGCTTGCTTTATAAAAATACAAAAGAGGAAACATTATTTCACTGAAGAAGCTCGATCAGGGTCCACTTTACACCGTATTCGACTCAATCTCATCGTGCTCCAATATCACTGCGCCTTGTTTCATTCGGCTCACTCCTCACGTGCGTTGCTCCTTGTTATTATTAAGCAAGGAAGACCATACCAGCCAGAGCGGCCGCGACCATCAGAGTCAGGTGGTGCGCGCCGCCAGTCGTACCGAATACGGCCATGCAACGAGTTTCGCTGGAGCTAGGGGTACCCGCTGCGGACACGGCCTCCGTTGCCAACAGTCCTACCGCGCTAGACGGATTCCCGGTGCACACCTCATCGTATGGTGGACACTCAATCGCACCAGAGCTGAACTCGGCGCTGTACTTCGAAGGCACAAGGATGCCCCCGCGTGGGCAGTTCACGAAATCGCTGGCACCCTTCACGCGCACACGGTACGTCGCGGTGGCCTCCTCGCACAGCACGTGCGCGCAGACAGCGGCCATATTTTCACCACCACTTATCTCGAGAGTAGCGCTTGGTAAGGCAGAAAAGCATCGCGCGGATTCTGAAAGCACAGAGCCGGGTAATACCTTGGAACTCACATCATTACAACCGGCATCCCAAAAACCTCGTACGAACGGGCAGTAGTCCGTCCACCCCTGAGTGCCACCCATCGTCGGATTGGTAAAGTACTGGAAAATAGAAGATAAGTGGGTCATGTTATCGCTCAAGTCGCAGTACCCTACATCCAGTCGGTTGGACGTACACTTGTACTCACTCTTCGTACGGGTTTCAGTGACGCAGAACATCTCCGGCACCTGCGACACCCCGTTAATAACGCACTTCTCATTAAACAGCACGCACCCGGCATTCTTACCCCATGCCATGCTTTCAGCATTACTGTAGTTGCCCTTGTAGTAGCCCGTATCCTCCATCGCGGCGATGGTCATCGCGGTGTAGAATCCTGCGTAAATCACAGGGGACATCAGCTCATCCTTCGCGTTGCGCATCTTCCAGTGCGAGCCCACAGACACGCTGCCGCCCGTGTCCTCCAGCTCCATGTGCGTCATGGTGCTGCATCCGTAATGGGCCCTCGCGGCTTGCACCACTCTGCTCGACGTTATCACCGAGGCCTTTGGCTTACCACGAACCGACACATTAGCAACCATACCTCTTGTTTCAAAAGTAAAGCCGTGGAATCCAAGCGCGTGCAGGAGCTCATGCGCCATGATACGCGTGCAAGAAAAAACATTGCTAATACCTCTGGGCGAAACATTGACAACCCCCACCAAGGGCCGGCCGCTGGCGTCAACTTGGCACGATATTGCCCACGCAAGAATCCCAGGCTTGATCGGGCCCGCCGCGACGTACAGCACGAGGTCGGCATTCGGCACGCCGGTGGTGTAGTGGGAGTCAGGGATCGTGAAGTGAGAGCATAATCCATGCGTAAAGCGATTAACACGGATGTTGCCGCTGTGCGGTTGCACTAACAGGCGGTCCTCGTGCATCTGCACCGCGTCTCGAATCACCACGTCACGCAGCACCAACTTTTTTGCATAGGTCAGGATCTCATCGGAGTCACACACACGAGTAGAATCCATAAAATCGAACCTAGTCTCCCCGACCTTAGTGCAGTAGCGGGAGTAGTTGTTAAGGTCCTCGGTGAACACCATGATGCGGAAAGACAAGTTGCAATGACCCTTTTCGCTGTCCAAAATCGTCTTCCTAATGGCTACGGATGGCGTTATATTGCGCTAATGGATCACAGCCTCAGCTAAGATGGCCACCGTCTATAACAGGTAGAATTTCGACTGGGGGTGTGGCGTTCTATTAAATGATTCTGAGACATAACAAAATACTCTTAGTGAATCAAGTTATCAAGTTTGATGCTGGAACATTTCTAATCTTCAGAAGTATTCGAAGTTATAGTGCGGCAACATCTAATTAATGTCTAGTAAATTCAAAGAGAGTGCACCAAAGAGTACCAAGTAGCTTCAAAACGCCTCTTTATTTTTCAACAGTTTCCAGTTCATGTGTATTCTACGATCTCCAAAATTTAATGCTTCTCACGCTCAGCATCCACATATTCAAGACTGATGGGATTAGTTGAGTCGAATTATGATATCAGTGTGGGATAGCAAGCAGAGAGAGCCATTCATGCTAAGCTAACAAAAAATCTCCTATAGCGGCATGACTTAGAAAGACACACTTTTTTCTATCAGTTAAATTTGTTCAGATAAAGCACAGATACCCATGTACCTTATTGAAGCTTATTGTCACACAGAACCAAAGAACAGCTGCATATAATAGGAATAGGAACCTGGTAGTAATAGTACAAAAGCTGCAAAAGAAGAGAGCAATGGACACGCACCTCATTCCTTGATGCACTGGTATTTACACTACTTCAGAGGTAAATCACTCCATCTAGCAAAACGTTATAACTATATATAGACATATGGATAACATATGGAGAGAGAGAGAGAGAGAGAAAGCAATACACATGCACATTAAGATGTTCAGTAAAATGTTGACATCTTAATAGAACGAAGCAGTCATGACTATTATTTTGATTCAGTTGGCTTCATCCTACCTGGATATTCTAGTATTGCAGTTCCACATCTAAGTCCAGAAGTCATCACAGTCGGATTATACCTAAAGAGCACTCAAATCACACGCTTACTCCTCAGCCATCCACGGAAGCCTTAATCCACTTTTCCAGAATTTTCGACCCCACTTAACCGCTTGAGTCTTTGCTTTCGCATGTGCTCAGCAAATTCATTGTTCTGGGCCGCCATTTTTTCGATTTCCTGTGGCTCTTCATATGCCGGACTGTCCTCAGGTCGATCCTTGCACATATCCTTTAGAATCTCGTCCTTGACATAATTAGGCACTTCGAGTAAAGACAACGTATTGCCCGATTCCAACCAGTACTGATCTCCTGTTGGACGCCCTTCCTGAGTGAAGCGCTTGCCAGCTTCCTCCTCTCTCCTCGCTCGCTGCAGGCGCTGGCTCACCTTTACAGCTGCGTATTGCCCAAAGCGGTCTAGGAATAGACCACGTTGGTAGGGTGTAAGCCCCGCAGGGTCTTGATCACGCAGTAGTAGCCGTGCCTCTTTGAGAAATTGCACCAGTTCCGGCTGATCATCCAACATATCGTGAAAGTACGCCGCAGCCTCCTTGGAGTTCTGCCCGCGAACGACGGACTGCTCCGCCTGGCGCGCGAACCATGCCCGCGTGTCATCCCCATTCGAAAGGGAGGCGGGAGATGATGGAGACCCTTCTCGTCCAGTTCCAGAAATATGCAGCCGTGCACAAGTCAAACACAAATTGCTACGCCTAACATCAATGGGCCGAAGCCGAGATGCAGCACGCAAAAGTGTTCCCCAGCGTGGAAAATTGCAAAAGTTCATGTTTTAGCGCAAGAATAAGCTTGAAAAGAGGTCAAATGGGTAAAGGATAGGGAATGATGGAGGAAATCTGAGGATAATATGGTTTTTTACGATATCAAAAAGAGGCATTATCTTGTATTGGTACCCCCTTTGGACGACGCTCTCAAAAAGGAAAATAATTCTTAAAAAGCATGCGTGGCAGTTCCAGTTTCGCCCCTCATGGCTTAGTTCTCTCCCTAATTCTATGCAACTTTTTATTCTGCTGAGCCTAGATAATGTTTGTTAAAGTGAACCCCTATTTCGAGCGGAGCACTAAAACGTTTATTACTCCCGAAGCGACATGTGTGTCGGCGACACGTTATATTTGTAAATATAAATGTCTGGGCGATGATGTGCACGATAGGCTTCGATTTCTTGCTCGAAGTAAGGCTCTGGTGAAAAGCTCTCTGGAGTAGGATCGTTGAAGTTCGACCTCGCCAGCTTGGCAAAGGCCCCTTGCTTCTTATCTGTGGTGTGCGGTGACCACGAGACACGGCGGGCATGACTAATACCCTCTCTACTGAAAAAATCTTCTGTCCGGACTGAGAGCCAACGCCTAGCCGTAACGACCACCGTTCTTGAGACAACCTTAACCATTCTCTTTGTCATCAAGCCACAAAGCGATGTTGTTTGTTGAGAAAGGGTAGGACGCAGCATCTATTCATACCCTTTCGGCACTTATGGCTATTAGACTAAAAAAAATCTGATTTCAAAGCCAATAGAAAAGGTTACCCTTCGCGTCTTAGCACACACGGTAAATCAAATGCTGTGAGAGAAGTATCGATAGTTCAAACTAGATTGTTAGAAACAGAAGCCATAGGAAAGAAGGGTTTATAGATGTACAGATATGTATGTAGGAAAAACAGTGAGGGGGAAAAACAATACCTGTCAGTATTGCTATTCACGGCAACATGTTTGATTTTTTTTCGTTTGTTTGTTTGGGGGGAGAGGGGGGGGGGCATAAAGGGTATAGGACGTTTCCCCTATTATTTCAAGTTGAAGAAATAGGTACGGTAGAAAGAAGAATTACCATCTCGTGAGTATGTAGTCAACTGTTGGGCAAAAGGAAAAGGATCAATGGATGTAATACCATGTTTAGTTCCTCATCGTTGAAAAACGCCCACGTCTAATGCCATGGGACGATGGCTGGTGAAGGGGTAAAGGACGGCATATTTCTCTTGAGTATCGTCTCAAGATATCAGCTCTTAGCTCACATGCAAGTCACTGAGCTAATGATTTGCCTCTGAAAATCAGGAACTAAATCCTCAATAATAGTGAATTTATGTATTATCCTGTTTACATTCAAACATCGAATTCTCTCCAAGGAAATGACACAATGGCACGTCAACGCTAGTGTGAATGCATACACTCAACAACGTATGTCAACAATCCCACCACATCGAAGAGTGCAGCTCTCGTTTTTCTACTGACTATTTTGAACATCTTTTGGGACTGCCTTCTGTCGGGGAGGCCAACAATCCGCCGGTGGGTGCATATCTGGCTCTGCGTCGCATAAAAAAAATAAAAAGATGATACCGTTAAAGATAGAATATTGATTTTATGCAAGACCGGTCATAGAATCACATAATTTCCACCATTCCATCTTCATTATTGCGCTGAGCGCCTGCATCACTTATTTCCTCTAAGTGTGAGAAAGTGGTAAAAACGAGCTGAAGAGAGCAAGAAAAGGGAAAGTTGGTTAACATCAACATAGCGATTGTGATTATTATTGGCATTGCATAAGAATTAGCACGGTATATTGACACAACACACTAACTCTGGATTACAACGACACATATTGAGGGTCTTTAAAACAACAACAAAAAGACACCTTGACTATTATCTCTTTTCAGTACCCAGGGTGTGAGGGGAATTTCCTTACAAGACAAGGACGCCAAGTTTGAAGAACTTGAAATAATGAATAAAAAAATACCAACATCTATTTCATTGAATTTCATATCGTCCCTTCAATATTTCTGTTTACCCTTTTGTGAACAGCCCTTCAATACATTTTAACTCTCGGGAAATCGGGTTACCTGATTCGACGTGATAATGTGACCTGTTTTTGCTAATATGGAACAACACTGCAACTATGCATTCTAATGTTGTTTGTAGCATCTAAAATGAAAAAATTCGAGCTTCAACCCCTCAGGTGTCATAATTCATCCACTAGTATACATTCACAAGAAGGCAATATTTTTTCCTCAGCTCAAATCCTTTTGATCCATTTTTTTGTCTCTTACTGGTGCATAAAAGGAAAATAATTAGTTATGCCCATAAATAAGGGAATTAACAGAGGATATAATTTGTAACTCGAGAGAATACCTCCCCCATACACACATACGCAAATTCATATTAGATGCGTTACAAAGCAAAATTCACCTTTACGTCAAACACGAAAAGAACTAGTGTTTGCTGCGCAATTTATCCTCTACTTTTAACTTATCTTTGAGTCATATAACCCTTTTTATTGTTAAAATATATAATCGATCGAAAAGTAAACTAATCTCAACCAAACAACGACATCTGTCAAACTAATTGAAGCAAAGCGTATGTTCACAAAGACGCCCGCCTCCACCTTGAATAAAGGTGAAAGTAAGTCTTTCTAAAAACTTATGAGGGGAAAAAAGTTCCTCTCTTTTTTACTATCATGCTAAGAATCAAATATTACGGTTCCAATAGTATGTCACTACTCTTGAACTTGATACCAAAGGCTAGATATTTATTTACAATAACTTCCATCCTTGTACCTCCCTCTCAACAGATTTATATAGTTCTTTTTTGATACACAATTTACTCCCAAAAATTCCTTATTCTTCCCTTTCCTTTTCCTCTCATCCCCCCCCGTTTTCTCAGGCATTTGCACGTGCTTGCGAATCATTTATTAGAATACCAACTTCCCTCCAGGGTATGTATAAGAAAATAAGATATGAGGAATCAGATAGTGTGAGATCACAAAACGGTTACATTGGAACCGTATTATCTTGAACACTCTAAAGAGAGATAGAACTGGATTTAAGGCAAGACCGTCCCTGCAATAGCAGGCAGATAAACAATAGATTCATTGCGCAAAAAAAACAAGAAAAAATCTTACTCATCACTAGGAGAAGTGTAAAGAGAAGAACACGACGATGTGTTCTACAGCGAGACAGTAGTAGTAAAATTAGAAGACCAAATAAAAAGGATTTTATTAAGTCAAAGAATTACATATCAACAACGAAAGGACATTTCCTCCACCTACCCCCCGTCTCTTGCAAATCTCACTAAAAACTCTGTGATTGGTCGGTTAGCCTGGTGTCTCTCTTCTCATTCTCTTCAAGAAACTTAGATAAATATAGAGCTGATATAACGTGCATTCTATTATGATCTGCTTACGCTATTGGGCCCTCATATTCACCCCCTCCCCCTCCCCCCCCCCCTCTATTTATCCTTATTTCCAAGCAATTTGTCCCTTTGCTTCTCTGTCATAGCCTCTATTTCACAGGGAAGAAACTGAAACAGATCTGAGGGTAGTTCCCTGTTTTCTGGTAACTTCGTTGTCGGGTCATGCAGCTCGTCGAAATATGGATGACAGAGTGCCTCAAAAGATGCCAAACGCTGCTCAGGCAAGTATCGCAAGAGCTTGCCGAGTAAATTGTACGCCTCAGGAGGGTGTGGGTACAGAAAGACCTCACTCCATGGAACACGGGAGCTATTTGGTAAAGGGATGTCTAAACGATTTTGGTTCAACTTCTGCAGCTCTTCCGGTGTCGGGCGGCCGAGGATCTTCACAATCTCGTGGAGCTGGTCGGTGCTGTTCTCCCCACGGAAGATGGGTTCACCTAGCATCATCTCACCAAATATACATCCCACCGACCAGATGTCCACCGCCGTTGTGTAGTGTTGATTGCCAAAAATAAGCTCCGGCGCGCGGTAGTAACGTGAACAAATATACGCCACGTTCGGCTCCGAAGGAGAAAGCTTCTTGGCGCTGCCAAAGTCACACAGCTTCAGGCTGCCAGCTGCTTCATTCACAAGAACATTGTGAGGCTTGATATCACGATGACAGACGTTCACCGACGGCAGGTGGAGGTACGCGATGCTGCGCAGAAGCTGGTACATGAATACCTTAATCAGAATCAACGGCGGCGTGGTTTGCCGGCGGTAATAGTTCCGGCAGCAGCGGTGCAGAGTATCCGGAACATATTCCATCACGACGTTGAGGTAGATGTCATTGTACCGCCTCTCCCCACGAGTATAGAAGTAGCTCTGCAGCTGAATAATATTCGGGTGACGTGGCGAGGCGAGGTCCTGCATGATCTGCAGCTCGCGATTGCGGAAGCGAGGATCCTGAATAACCTTTTTGATAGCCACTGGTGCTCCAGTGGCTCGTTCTTTTCCTAGCTTAACTGTACCAAAGGTACCCTGTCCTGCCATGCGTTCTACAGTAAATTTCTCCATCTCAAGCAAGCTATCACCATCTGCCGCGTCGGAGTAGTGATACGACATTATGCAACGCGTTCTGTTTAGTTATCACCGGCTACGTAAGCAGTCTATTAGTTGTGTTGACTTTAAGGATATGACTAAGGTTGTCCGCTTCAACCCCCTTTTTCTTATGCACCCTTACTTTTTACGTCGTGATATTAATTGTGGGCGATCGATAGCTTTTAAAATGGCACAGATCAGTTCTTTGAGGATTCCTCAAGGAGAGTGCACGTTCGGAATATAAATGGAACTTTAAGTGTGTATACCTCTATATATATAGGCTTATGTGTAACTGTGTGCAAAAATTTACTTATTTAACACAGTGACTTAAAAAAAAGGTAAAACTGAAATAAGGAAGAGGAAAAGATACTAGCATGTTTGAAAGAAATACTCATCTCTGGTATTTTGCCTGCGATTTAACGATTTATTGCCTTGAAAGGGGTACATTAAATAAGCAAATACAGATATTTATTTATTTGGCCAAAGAAAAGGTGAGAATGGGGAAAACGAGTGTCAGAATATAATAATGGCCTCATATTTGTTCTTCCCGTTTACTCGCTTTTTGGGAATGCTTGAACAAAAAAACCCTCCCACAATCACTCAGCATAGAACGAATACCAACGCGCAGATAGGAGAAACAGATCACGAAATCCATTCATTATTCCATTATCATTGCTTGGAAGCACGATGCTCGTTCGAATCGATTGATCACACGTTAGTCAGGAAGTCTCAGATAGATCAAGACCATGTTCTTATTGAGTTCACTGCAATCGTTTATTCCTTAGACACATGCTTTTCAGCTGGAATTCTGATTCACAATTGGTAAATAGAATAATAAGGTTTGCATAAAATACCACGACTCGAGAGAATCATCAAACCAGTTTGTCTCTACCTGAACTTCTTCACTCTATAGCCACGGCTTGATTTTATCACGCCAATATTTCTCAAAGACTAGATCCACCTGCCGCAGGCCCTCATCTAACGTCGTCTCGGATGTGTTGAAGTGTTTTAATCCATTAGCGAATTCTATCCGACGAAGGGTCTTAATCTTCTCGAAGAGACTCGCCTGCGCGGTGATGCGCTGCGCGACCTCTGCAGCCCCGAGGCCGTTTCGCAGGGCGAGGCGCGATGCCGCCTCTTCCTCGCTACAGCTCGTGATCCAGACATCGGTGCAGTACCGAAGCATGCCCGCAATCTCCAAAAGAAGCGCGGCCTCTAGGATAAAAAGGGTCACCCGCTTGCCAGACTCCTGGGCAGCCAACACGCAGGAACTGTACTGCGCCTTGAAGGCCTCCATAATATGCGGCCAACAAATGGCGTTGAGTGCTGAAAGCTCTTGTAGATCCGCAAATACGATCTTGCCAAGCACGTGACGGTTGATTGGAGGGGGCGAGGCGGAGAAGATTACATCAGCACGCGATGGTACTGTGTTTCCAGACCTCCTAAGACTATCGCTATCGCCTAATGAGGCAGTTGCGGCCCCCCCCTGTGCCTCCTCTCGCATGAGAATTCTCTCGCCGAAGCGTTGAATCAATTGATAATAACAAGGGGTGCCTGGCAAGTAGACAGAATGCCCCAAAAGATCTGCGTTGATGTACTTCACACTCAGAGGACTATCCTGTAGCAAGGGCAAATACGAGGCAGAGAATGCAGTCGATTTTTGTCCCGCCAAAGCAGTCGTCGAAGCCAACTGCAAAGCCTCCTCTACTGACACCTTACTCTTCTTCCCAGTTTTGGATGCAGAGTGCAGGGCACTGAGTTGATGATTAATGGCGGCCTGCAGCAGGCGATGACAGCGCACTGTCTTTCCACTTGCTATAGTGCCGGTAAACCCTATAACATAATGCGTTGTCATTGCATCAATTCCCTCAACTTCAGCATGTGTGTTTAATATTCACTTGCAGGCTACACCAAACGATCCTTAAAATGTTGATTGTAATGCTGATGGCAATATTTTACCCTTTTTCATTATCATGAAAGTCCACTGGAATGCTACAAAGCACAAACAAAAATAAAATGGATAAATAAGTTATAAACCCATATAGTGGAATTTGACGAAGGCATAGGTTACATATGCACGTGTGTTCATCTTTTGATGCGTTTAAGTAGCAAATTTAAAACAGAATTATTGTGAAGGGTTAATTTAATGATCAACATCATTGTAGTGCTTATTTATTCCTTCTCGTGTGTATAGTTCACATTATTTATTTATGCGTTTTGTTATGATAGTATTGGCTACCACGAGATGCGCAACATTCGAGCATGACTTGGAATAATCACCGCAACGAAGCACAAAACTAGTACCACAAAATTTATAATTAAACATACACTTTTTATTTCACTTTCTTCTTCAGAAAAAAAAGAAGAAATCGTTGTCAAAACTCTCCTTCCAGCCCCCCCACCCCCCTTGGAACATTATGTTAAATTGCATCACATAACCATACCCAGTCCTCCAACAATGAACGCATTTGTATAGTCAAATCGTTAGCCCCTCCACATTCCACAATTTGAAGGATCAGTGAAATCCGCACCTCTTTCTCATCCTTATAATCCGGTTCATTGCTTTATATGTTATCTCTTGAGTGCGCAGAAACTCACTTACCACCATTACCCCTTATTAATGTTCTCTCCCTTGGTTCGACGGGTGGACGATTCGGCTACGACGTGCGAGAAGATGCGGAAGCACTCAATTTTGTCTTCGTCCAAGTCGTTAGACCGCCGCGCTTCTTTCCAGCGGTCTCGTCACCCTTAACTGCTCCCCGTGATGCCGCGTTTGCCGGCGTTTTCGTGGCGCGTTCCGTCGTCGCCGCGCGGGCGCCTGATGCCTTGCCCGGGAGGGGGGTGGTCAGACGGCCTGCCGTCACGGCCTTCATCGTTGTCGTCGTGGGTTTTGTCGTTTTCGCTGTCGTTGTCGTGATGGGTTTTGTCGTTTTCGTCGCCGCTGCGGTGCTGCGGAAACACGACGCGAAGCTTCGTGGGGCGTCGGTCGCCTCACCGGGCTCCTCGCGAGATGGCGGAAGGGCGCCCGCGGCGTCGTCCTTCCGCACCGGTTTCGAATCCGCCGCGGAGGAGGTAGGGGGAGGAGGGGGGGAAAGAGGGGGCACCGCCGCCGTCGCGCGGGGCTGCGGCGGCTCCGCGACGCCGCCCCCTTCAGAGGGATCCGGAGGCACCGAAAACATCGGCGGCGTGTCGAGCGCCCAGTGGACGTGGGGCCCACCCTGGGGCTGCCGCCGCACGAATGCGAACGTATCCCGCACGATCGCGAAACTTTTCGGCCTCACCTCCATCAGCTCCACCTTCTGCGTGAAAGGCCACTCCTGGGGCGGCGGCGCGGGAGTCTCGGCCGCGGTCGGGGCGGCGAGGAGGAGGGCGCCGGAGACCTCCAGGAGGACGGTGTTGCCGCGCGTCGAGGACGCATTCACCGCGCTCACGTGGACCCCCACCACGGCGCCCGGCAGGGCAGCCTTGTTGGAAAGCACCGCCGTGATCGCATCGGTGGGATTGTCGAGGCCGCGCCGCTCGCCCGGAGCCGGAGTCGCCGTCGCGCTGTAGAAGCTGGGGAGCCTCTCGGGCCGTTGTACGAGGGCGGCATAGAAATGTCGGACAAAGTTCACCCCTACCTGCATGGGGAAGTAGTTGTTACGCTGGTTCATCTCCTCGGAAGAAGCCTAAGTCGGACACAGCAAGAATGGAAAATATCGGCCGAGAAGGGAAAGGTGATGAAGGACAGTACCAATAAAGTAGAATACCCGAAAATGCTAGACTAATATAAGCCTTGCTTCGTATGCGGGTTTGTTGATACAGTCAATCCTATTAACGTGTATATTGGGGAGAGTGCGCTTGAAGTATTTAAGCGATGTATTATCTTAATCTAAACCTTAAACTGTTCCCCTGCGAAACTTTTGTGATATAAACAAGCTAATGCGTATATAGATAAGCTCAAGGATAGATTCAGAGGCTTAGTGAAATCTAGTGTAACATATGCTGTGCACAACAAATGGTGTAGAATCCTATGTTCTTCCTCAATGTTTTTTGAGTTTTACAACGTTTGAATATACAAAAAGTGATAACCACAACATTATGCAAATAATAATTCTTTTTATATATAACCTAGACACGCCGGAGCAAAGCTTGCGATTTTGATGCACCTTTTGCTGTGCTCACACCATTATTCATTGGACTACCCTACCATTTTTCGTTTCCTATAGCAAGCGCTGACGATCTTCGGGGGACATCTTGAGTTTGATATCGATAAATTGCTGTGCGTCCAACACCGTCCAGTTCGAATGCATGCGGTGGCATGCTTCACACCGACAAGATACTCGCATGCCGACAAATCCATTCGCGCGGCGCTGCTCGTTGTGATAGCTACGACAGTGTGCGTCAGAATCAAAGAGAATGGGGTTGGGGATCGGTCGATACCCCTGCGCGGCCCGCTGGATCCCCTTGCAGTGCCCACAGTGGAGGTAAAACTTTTGGTAGAATCGATTGCCTAGCATTGTACCGTTTCCTGCAGTTTTTCTAAGGCGTATGAGTGGAAGGCAAAAAAAAACAGTTTTTGTTCAAAACACCACGGAAAATCAAAAAAAATGACGATCGAAGAGTTCGTTCCCCACCATAGACAAAAAAAAGAATTTTTTCAAAGACATGAAAAGCAGAGCACCAAACCACGCTCTCCCCCCCCCCCCTTTCCTCTCAAGGAAGGAGACAAAAAAAAAATTGCCACTCCACTACGCCAAAAGCCTCTTTCGTCGCGGTATCGCTTCCTCACGAGTCATTCCCGTCGAGGGGTCGTCAGGAGAGGTCATCTCCAAGCCTAGGTACTGCCCTTCGCGGAGGATCTGACGCGCGAGAGGTGCCACGTTCCGCCCCCACGCACACGCCGGGCAGTAGGCGGACCACTCCCGGATCGAGGGGTGCAGTGGGCACTGCCCGGGCTCCACCTCCCCGGTGCGGCTCCGAATCGTCGCGCGGTAGGTCTCCCCACAGCCCTGGCAAATCCAATCGGCGCGAAACTTGCTGGTGACGCTCAGGCCCGCGATATTGACCTGCTTCTCGCCCTCGGCGAGCTGTGCGGCGAGGTCCGGGTACTTCTCCTGCAGGCTGTCACTCACGGCTTGCTCCTTGAGAACCTCAGAAGGGTAGCGTCCTTTGCAGCGGTTGCACCCCGCATGGAACTTGGTGCGCACCGAGACGTTCTTGCGGTAGGGGGAGCCACAGAAGGAGCAGCGCCAGTAGATACGGCGATGATCGTTCCATCGAATATCCTCAAGTGGAATGTGAAGCTCTTCTTCGTTTCGTTGGGTATCGATGTCATTGATGACAGTACGATAGCGTTGGTCGAAGTTGGTCAGCCGGTTCGACTCACGCGTTACCCAGTTCACGCTTTTCATCGGTAGCTGCCGGCCTACGCTATAGTTTAAGTACATTGCGCCATAGTGCATATTTGGCCAAACGGCCGACCATCTCGATTTCTGCTTGAACTCCGCAGCTGCAAACACAAAGGTCCGACGAAGCATTGATTGATATTTTTATCCTTCCGTTTACCAACCCTTTTGTCCGATTTTCGTCTTGGGATTAAGGTACTTTTTTTCCTACAATATAAAACAGGCAAAATTGTAACTGGACGTTATTTTTCTAAACTGGTATCGCCCTCCGACAAAGAGGGAACCTCTCAAACTTGCGAATGTGCGACCAGTCACTTCACAGTTCCTTTGACCACGACTACACTATGCAGTGGGAAAATTTAGGATGAGAATAAAATGAGAAGTAACGCGAAAAAAAAAGGAAGGGAGAATACGTTAAAGAGTATCAGCGAACCGCAGTTAATTATAGGAAATGTATACATCGTAAGAGAAATAGAATTATCAATGTCAGCGCAGCAAACATACGTGCTTTCTCTCCTTTTTTTACTATTTTTCCCCTCGCATGGTTTATTATTTCTTAGACACAATTAACAAGCAAACTGTTTTATTGGTGTTAGTCAATACTAAATTTTATTATATGAACTATTAGACCCAACAATAGATAATATAAGCAAAAAAAATCCGCTCACAAAATTATCCTGGAGAACGAATAACCAGGGCCCTTCCGTGAAGTGGTGTCCTATAGTCATAAATATTAGTCAATTCGGCTACTACGACCCACACAAGGGAATACCAGGAAACAGATCGTGCTTGCTAAAAGAAAGTGAAAACGAAAGAGGTTCGATTTATTATTTATTGAAACGTTGTTGTTGTTTTTGGAGTGGTGAGACAAAGCTTGTGGCTCCACAGGAAAGGGGGTCCCTAAAGGTAGCACAAGGAAGTCCGCCACAACGCGCACTACTCATTTACACCGCCAGTTTTCCAAAAGGGTGAACTTTAGATGATTCTAAAGCAATGTAAACATTCGAAGAAATAACACTGAGAAAGGAAGAGAAGGGAAGCAAGACAAAAAAAAAACAAGGCCCCTTGGCACACTACCAAGGAATTTACATGCCCCATCTTCCTTTCCTCCTCATTTATCTTTCACATATACACACACACACAGCACCATCTCTCTAATTTGAGGTTATTCATGTCCCTGTATACATATGGATATATGTATATATAGGACCTCATCCTTTTAAACAACAGAGAAGAGGTGGAAAGCTAGTGTATGACCTAGGAAACCAATGGTGTGCCTGCATGAACGATGGGTCTTGGCGGTGGTGGTTTCTTGCGGAGTTCCTTAGGGGGAGGCTTCCGATTGGGCTTCTCCCACTGCGGCGGAAACAAAAGAAAGAGCCCAACACGAAGCGTCGTGAACAGAAGACACCACATGATGATAAAACGTAGCCAAGCCTGAAAAGCAATCTCGTTAAGTTCAAACGGGGTTCGTTGAGAGTCCTTTCGGGTCATATCCTCATCATCATCGTCTTCGAAGGGGTTCTTCTTGACCTTCCCAGTGTGCATTTCGGTGTAGAACTCGTCGTAGCTGACCTTGCTTCGTTTGTGCGTACGTGTGGTGTAGTGAAAACCACTATAGCGGTTGCCGCCGCTAGCGCCATCTCCACCCTGGCTCGTGGGGCTGCCATCCTCATTCTTCTGGATCCATACGCCGGACTTAACCTGATCGTAAGCCGCCTGAATTTCCTGAAATTTTTCGTGGCTGCCACCAGGGGCGTCGGGATGATGCTTCCGGGCCATGACGCGATATGCCTTCTTCACCTCCTCCTTGGAAGCTCCCTGCTTGATGCCAAGCACAGTATAGGGATTCTTAGAACTCGCGTACCGTTTTTGAGAAAGTATGAGAGGCGTTGCAGCGCACACATAGGGAAGGCCCGCGCGAAATGAGTTGAACAACTTCAAATTGGTGGTTTGAAATCCATCACAGCATGATGGCACTCGACGAATGCCACTCCTAAGAATTCTAAAAGAAAGCATAAATCAGCTTATCCCTTAAAGAGCTAAATAAGAATAATAATAATAATAAAGAAAGAACCAATTTGTTTAAGGTACACGTATGAATGGCAAAGGAAGTGCATGGCGTTGATAGTTCACGATAAAATACGACATAAAATGTAAAAAGGATCAAGTGGACTAACTAAGCCTATAGTACACAATGAAAACGAAGAACCAAAAGGGGCAATAAATAAAAATTTGAAAATAGTCACTAAAAAAATGATACTATTGATATTATTTCATAATGGAATGGATTTGTTTTACTTTACATGATATCACAATGAAAAAGTCAAAAGCCAAACACCTGTGTCTACAACCAAAGCGTGGAAAAAAAACAGCAGATGGATTTGCTAAACTAGCAAATCAAATATCCGGTGGAGGCCCAACCCGGCCCTGTTGAGCTGGCACTTTCTGAGATCCCCTCTCCTCCTCGCTTCGGTCGCGAGGAGTTTTCCCAACCTCTTTTTCATCTCAGCCCCGCCTCGAGCAACGTGGTGCGCGAGTGCATTCCCACCCCTGCAGCTGATGCATCCTACACCAAGCTCCTCGCCTCACGAAGAGGGCGCTTAGTAAAAGGAGAAGGAGGGGGTTGGAGCGCCCCCCCCACCTGTCGGGTCCTCCAACACCCTCTCCCGCACCCCCCAGTCGACGTCGGCGAGGGGAAAGAAAGCGGGGCCGACGGGCAAACCCGCGCGGCGCCGCTCCTCCACGGTCTCCACCACCGTCTCGTGGGCCTCCCACGGGAGGTCGCAGACGACGCAGCAGAAGCGCCCGGAGAAGCCCTTACACCGGCACCCCCCTCTCCCCCCCTCTTCTGTTTTATGGCGGCAGCGGAAAGGGGGGGTGGAGGCGTGCGCGTGGGCGGGATGGCCGCAGCGGCAGGCGGGCGACCACGCCGCCGGATCCCACCCCACCCGGCGGCTCAGCCATCCCTCGCCGATCTCCTCCGGCTCATTCGGAAGGTAGTGGAAGCGGGGGCAGCCACAGCGGGGCTCCGCGCAGGGGAAACCCCGCGAAAGAGGCGAAAAAGAAGAAGAAGAAGAGGAAAAAGGAGCCCCATCAGCGAACCCCGCGTGCGCCGTCAGGCGATGCCCGCAGAAGCAGGTGTGGGAGGGGCCGACGCGGCAGCAGAAGTCGGTGTTCGCGCCGGGCAGCCGCGGCGGTGCGGTGCAGCGCCAGACAACGTAGAAACCCTTCTCCAGGGCGAGGCGGGCGGCCTCGTTTTCCCGGTTGAGGATCCGCTTGGAGGCGGGCGAGGGGCCGAAACGGCGGATCCCGTCGAGGACCTGCGCCTCGGTCGTGGCATGCCGAACGAGGTGCTGCCGGAGCGCGGTGCGGACCTCCCGGCCGAGGTCTCGAATCTCGTCGTGGACGTGGTCGTCAGCGAGGATCTCGCCGTAGCGCGGATCACGGTCTAAACGGGGATGATGGGGCTGGATGGACGAGACCTCTCGGCTAGGTTGGCGACTACGTCCGGGCGCGAAGGCGGGCACCGCTGGACGACTTGCCGGGCGTGATAGGAGCTTGGAGATCGCTGGAAACCGCCCTCGTTGAGGTAACGAGCGCTTCGGCGGTTGTGGCGTATTTTCCTTTTGTGTGGTCCTTCTTGAGCTCATTGCCTGGATGTGATACCATGGGTTAACAAATGAGAGGCAATTTGGGGAAAAAGTGCAAAACAATCAGGTACTAGTGAGAGAAAAGGCATGGGAGAGTCGGCATACCTGCACGAAGCCCTCGCTGTATTGGGACAACATATTTCATTTGTATCCCCCATACCCATTTCTTCATCCACCTTACACATTTTCCATGATATTTCCACCAGAAAAAAATACTTCTAAGAAAGGCATGGACCTCCTATAACCATTGGCGAATAAAAGGATCCAAATCATCGTCAAACCTACAAAGTCTAAGACTGGGCCTATTCCTCCGCGTTGCTAAAAAAGAGGTGGTGGGAAGAGAGTAGATAATGATAGACCTGTACCCCCTCCCCCTCCTCCCTCTCGAAAAAGAAAGGTCCTGTTCAGGGCTAAATTGCATCCGCCTCATCCAATGGCGAAGTACGTGGGACCTCAAAGCACTTCGCCATGGGTACATCCTTCATTAATTTCCACGCCAATGCGCACGCGCTGATCTTGGCGGCCACATCAACTTCCCGAATGTCATGGTAGCCTTCGATAAGTCCAGCTTCCGTGATATTGTGCCTTTCCTCGGAATGGTTGATTCTCAGTGCTGTCGGCGAATCCACGATCCCATGGAAAAGCGCAAGTGGCAATAAAAGACTACTAGTGAATTGTGCCGCTACACAAAGGGCCACAATCTGGTATGGGTTCATTGACCAGGAAAGCAGGTGATCGCGTACCTTCATGACATTGTGCGGGGGAATACGGGGGTCACCGATGCCTACGACAACAGGGACATCCACCTCGAAAAGCCGAGAGAACCACTCAGTCACGGGTGTGATCAGTTTATTTTGAACCTCCACTATGGGTGCGCTGCGGAAGTACATGTTGTCATGCTGGTAAAACGACATGAGGTAGTCAATACGTGGGGGGATCATCTGCGGTGCGACATGCAGAACCCCACTGCATATGTCCGTCATGGGCATGAGGAGCTTGTTGAGGTACCCACTCTGCTCTGAATACTCCTGAGCACAGCAATAGGCCATGGCCTCGCTTGGTACCGCGAGAATCTGCTTTGACTCAAAGGCCCTCACCTTGCGGCCATCTAGGAGCACAGTATACCAGCCGTCGTACTTTTCCAGAGGCTGCACATCGACATCCTTCCAGAACACTCGCACCGCGGATTGGTTGCGCGTCTTGAGGGAAACATCCATCTGGTAAACCGAATCTTCGGCTAGCACGCGGCTGCTCTCCTGCTCTTTCGCCTCAAACTCGTTCACCGCCGCATCAAGCTCGTGTTCGTTCATTTTAGACCAATCCTCAACTTTCCGCTTAAACTGCGCCATAGAAGTCTCGGCGTGCGCACCTGGATCACTAGGGAGAGAATCGGGTTTTATGGCGCCTAGATTCGGTTTGATATGCCGCTTTTGACGCTTAGGCATGATCTGTGGCGACACAGTATCTGGCGATAAATTAACAGTGCTCCCTTCAACGTGTGTAGTCTCCGACGTCTTGAGTCGACGGCTGCATAAAAAAGTGGCGGGAGACATGGAGAGAGCCGGACTTCGATTCAGGTTACCAACCCCCATAGTGCCAACCAACCAAACGGGCACGCCTCTTCGCACGAAAGCTTGCCACATTTTGATTACGCACTACCACCACTAGATACGTATGGTAAGGTTCTCAGGAAGGGAGAAAAAGAAGGGCACCTCAAATATACTAAAGCTAAAAAAAAAATAGGAAAAGACACAATAAAATTAAATTTTGAAGTTACACCGCGTGATGTATGCGTATGCGCATACAACCCTTGCTTCTCATTGACTCTCTTCCTATGGATAGTAGCCCAAACTAAGATTTAGGAAGTAACTATTCCAGCAAGATTTCCCATTAAGTTGATAAACATATACAAGATTAAAGAACATCAAAAAAAATGAACATAGGAGTACTACGACACTTGATTAAAAGTGTATCACAGACCCTATAAAACTCCATTTTTACCCCCTGAGCTTTTCCCAATCCCAACAACATGAAAAATACAATCAAAATAAGTCATACCGCACCTCGATTGGAAATGAAAACGCTTGGCTTGGGCATAAGAATTCCGCCATAAGCCAACGATGAATAGCACCCGCGTCGTTGGAGGCGTCTCTGTGTGCAGGCTCCGATGGGTCCCCCTCCAACTCCCGCCTAAAGGGGTTGTAGTTGAAGCTGTGCACCGACTGGTGCATCACAGAGACTCGGCGCGGAGGTTCCTCAGTCTCCCCTGGCGAGGGCGCCGCGCAGCCCGCACCCTCAAGGATTTTAAGGATCTCAAAGGTCCAGCGGGAGACAACGGAGACGCCCAGTGTTTTGGAGAAATGTTCCGAGAAGCTGTCCATGGTGGCGTTCGAAGAGGCCAGGCAGACGACGTTCGGGGCCGTGATCTCGTTACAGAGCGCCAGCGCCTTGCAGGTATCGGCGAGGATTAGGATCTTGTGGTAGCGTCCCTGTGTGTGCATCATCGCCAGAGACTCGGACAAATCCACCCCGGACAAGTATTCGGAGTCCTGGAACTTGAAGTACCCCTTCGCGGAATGGCCGGTGAAGTATAACAGGATGTTGGAGTTGGCATCCGTGCGTAGGCGGCGCGTCTCAGGAGTGTTCTCGTCGTAGCGGCCCTGGAGAACATCAAGAAAGGTTCGCACGTCTACGTTATCGCCAAAAAAATCAACACGCGTGCATTGATTATACAAGTTCATCATTGGCGCGTTATTCCCAAACTGGGCTTGCACAGCTGCGGCGTAGGGATTACGCGGGTCGCATGCGATTCCATCGCTTGAAAAGAAAAGGATGTGGTCGTCGTCAATGCCGTGTTCACGAGCAATGTTATAAATCGCAAGGGAATTCAAAGTGTGCCGGTAGTTAAAATAATAACGCGCGCCACCGACGATGACAACCCAATTGTTTATTCGCTCATTCGGCTTCTGCCGCCGCAGCGGCGGTGGTGTCTGGGGTCCGCTGGCAGTAACTTGGGCGAGGGATACAAAAAAAAGCGATAGTAGTGATGTTAAAAACACTAAACGAATGAGCACACAGTAATTTGTTCCCAGAAACGACATGAGGCCTCTCGTGCGACAAACAAGGAGAAATATGTAGCTAAATAGATGTCCTTGCGCTGCTCACCCATATACAGGCGCACCCCCCACCGTAAAAGAAATCTAACTCACACCTTTTTTGAAAGTAAATGTTCAGCAAAAATAATAGAATGGAAAGAAAAGAGAGCCAAAAAATCATCAAGGCCTTTTTTCGGGAGCGAATGTGCGGTTTGGTGGTAATATATATATATAAGTCGATTACATACGCAGAGACAGAAATGGTGAGTAAAAAAACAGTCGTTTTCTCCTCAGGTGTACCAAGTTCATTGCACCGGATAGTCTGGAAACGATGTAAGCAAGAAAATAAAGGGACGCCTGGCCTTTCTTTTTGCCGCTGCTCCCATTATTTCACACATCAAATATAAATCGGAAAAAGGGAGCTAAATAGCAAAGGCAGTCTATGTTAACAGGCGCTCACTCATATCATGCCCTTGGAATCGTGGAGGCATTCGGACCATAGATATGGGTATTTCGAGTTCGTTTAAACAACCCAAACACGATCCTGATGTGGGCGCCTTCGAGTCACTAGGGGTGGGACCGACTGGACCATTGCTCCAGATCATATCAAATCCACCAATTCGTGTTTCGCTCCCACTTCGTCGCTTCTCCAAATCAATCACACTGAACATGTCATCAAGGAGGTTAAACTTCAAATGATAATCTGCTGGAGTCTCCGCTGTCAGGGATGGGGACGCATTGGTCTCAATCAACCACGGATGCAACTCGTCATCAATCATGATATCATAGCCGTAAAGCTCGGTGCAGTGCTTATCCTGAACTATCACACGCTGAACAGCGAAGATGGTGCGCAAAATCATGTTTTGAATATCGTCGAATAACTGGTTAGCGCGAGCGGTCCCTTCAGACGCAGTGATGAGCATCCTGAGATTGCGAATCCCAAACTTGCAGCTCGACAAGGCGGTGTAGCGTGGATTTGTCTTCTGAACCGCTACGTTCGTGACGTGGATAAAGGTGTTGTCGATATCCTCGAGAGAGAAGCGATGATAGCAAAAGCGCGCAAAGCCAGTTCGATGAAGCCACACAATGAGAGGGTTATAGCTTTGCACAAGCACGTATATACGCAGGTCGTACTTTTTACCTCCGACTAAGTGGGGATTAGCAATATAGCGTTGGGCAAGATAAGGCTCCACAGGATCGACACCGTACGGATTGCTGTTGAACAGAGAGTTACCGCCACCCGCGTTGCCACCGGTGTTTGTAAGCATCCCTTGGCGCTGTCGAAATTCCCTCCGCCACTCGGAAATCTGCGAAAGCTTCGAAAAGAGAAAGATTCCCTTCCCCTGCGCTTTGGCAGGGGGCTTCATAATCCAAATAGCATTGTTACGCCGGCGAAACTCTTGCTCAAAAAGTCCGTACTCCTGTGGGAGGGAGAAGGTTGTCGGAAAGAAGTCCCACGCCGCGGCCTCCTCAGCGTCACCTTCTTTTTCAACCATCTTCTTCATTCTTTTAAAATTTTTCGCCATCATGTCCTTGCGCGTGAGCTCGTAGTGATTGCGATAATGGTTAATCCGCTGGTGATCCTCGAGGCGAATGTGATCATAGTTTTCGCGAATCCACCCCGTATCAGCCCAATGATAGTCCCAGTCAAATTCGCTTTCCGTCTCAATCCAACCTCGACTGCGCATCACGTCGAGAACGATATTGCGCAGTGAAGTCTTAAAGCGAATAGGACTTTCGCCAGATGAATCTGCATTGATTTGACGCTGAGACCTTACCATGTTTCTTTTACATAAATTTATATAAATAATTTGTACTTGCACTTGGGAATGAAGAAAAAGAGGTTTTGTTATGAGTAGGGGGAGGAAGAAAAAGAGATAAAATATGCACTTCACGGTGCTCTGTAACGAATAAAAATCCCTAAATGATGACTTCACACAACAATCAATATTCGTTCATGTCTTATTTGGATCATCTTCTTATTTACATTACCTGAATTTCCATATCAGTAATAATAATAATATTTTCTTTTGAAATTTTACAAAGAAAACTGCAGCAAGTGACTGTGTTAGAGGGGCAACAAAAAAAAGCCACCACGCCTCTCTTCGCATGAAGGATATAGAGTACTTTAAAAGGGTGTAAAAAGGTGGTGAGTTTCAGTGCGATAGTGGGAAATTATACACCAATGCGATGTGATGGAATCATGTGATAACATGAGAAAATGTTTGGCAGCCGTAGATATGGGTGGCTAACCACAGTTCATCCCTTTATGAACTAAAATAACAAGCAATGTTGATACGACTCAAGGAATCGAGAAAGCAGCTCCGCTGTGAACCCGCAAGCTCTAAGCGAAAAACATCTCTGCAGTTGTCCAGTAATCGGCTTTCAGACGACAACAGAAAAGGTTTACCACAGAATTGATTCCAGAGGCAACCACTTCGGAAATGCTGGTGACACCGCCCGTGCTGGGTGTAACCACATCTGACTGTGGAATGTTCTACAAGGTCTCGTTAGGTGTCTGCAATGCGCCCTGAAAACTGTGCTGGACGTCGTGCAAAAAATGGAATAAGATCACAACGAGTTAACTGGATGCCACGATGGGGTTAATTATTTTATAGTTCATATATGAATATACACATAAAAATCTACAAGAAAGACTAGCACTTCTCGTTTCGGATATGCATCTTTTTAAACATTAGAAGGGATAAAGGCAAGGAAAAATATATCATGGAAATCTAACGGTGAGAAGTATCACGCTGGAGGAATATGCCACGTTTCGAGGCTTTTCTCTTTCATCACAACCCCCACCACCACCACCCAACTTGGCGTGGATCTCCCTCTGTCCTTTTTTAGCCAGTCTTTAATTTTTATGCACTTTTGTCACTCTAACATACTTAACAATACCCTAGTCAAAAACTTCATGTATCACAAAAACTCCTGACAGGTAAAAAGAACTGTGGTATATTGTTATTACGACCTCCTAAGAATACAATAACGTAAGTACATTGTGCAATGGGCTTGTTTAAACACATATGGAGTAGAAAAAGATAAGTGGGTGAATATAAAAACTGAAAAGCGCATGCGGCAACATAACATTGCAGAAGCTGACAGCTTGACCAAATCGCTCCATATTTTCCAACGGAGAGAGCGGTTCTTATGTATATCAAAAAAAAATTAAAATGTGAAAAGGAAATCTAAAAATTTATATAGAAATAAAAAAATCGTTCGAAACATTTGTTAATGAATCACCCCTTTAACTTGAATTTATGAAACAAGATAATTGAGACTATAACCAGTAACGCACCGATAGCGAAGTTTTTACTCGGTGAATACCCCCCATAGTACTGAGCTCATCACCCCGCTCAAGATGACAGCCAAACCAGTCGCAAACCCTTTCTGGATATTATCAGCATACCGCATAACGACTGCCACTAACATTCCACCCAGTGCATGAATAAGAACAAGAGACCAAGTCAACAATCTGCCAAACCCCTGTCATACATAAAAAGGTTTTGTCGGGCAAGGCGTTCCATTTACCCTACAGGTATTCCAGAAAAGCAGCGGGGGTGGATCCCTGCATCGGACAAAGATGTTCCATTGCACGGTCTGCCCGCAGGTCTGCTGACGAGACCAGTTAGGGAGCACCTCAAGTACTAGTATTGAGAGGATCGCAAGGGGAATCGCAAATATGGAAAGCTGGAGGTTTCGAACTGCTAAAGTTGCTTTGGTCGTTTTCACAACCTTCTCGAAATAAACCCCAGCGTAGCTTGACGAAATCCCAGAAATCAAACAAGATCCAATTCCCAAGAGAGTGCCATACATAATACTTTTATCACTCAAGGTATCTTCCCACGCACGTGGTGCGTAATCTACTTTTGACACACCTACAGAAGTACTTGGGGAACCTGTTCCCCTCACCTGAGTTAAGAGAATGCCTGCAGTAAGTAAGGCTAATGAACCCCACTGCATCCAAGAAAGGTGTCGATCCAGCATCCAAACTGAGAATAGTGCCGCTGAAAGAAGCTTGACTTGAGACCATATCTGGAAGGAGACTGGATCAAGGTGCCTGAGCCCGACAAAAATAAGGAGATTTTGACCTGTGAAAAGAATCGCGGGAACCAAGAGCTTCAGGGTATCTCGAGTGATGACAATGCTGTACAAGCATTGGTAATAAACTGAAATAAACCTTGTAACGCGAGCTACACATTTCAGATGCTTGTGATGCTTTCTAGGTTGATGCACATAATTTATAGAATCAACATTAAACTTCTGTTCAGTATCGTCTGGTTTGTTCCCTTTGATATTATGGTCAGCTCTGTCTACAATAATAACGGAACTTTTGACCTCAGAGCTCGGTTTCATAAAATCACCCCCGTGGATTTCAATATTATCTGCGGGAGCAGATAGCATATTTAAACTATACGACGAGTTTCCATGCATTTGAAAGCAAGTGGTATCCACTTTTTTATCCTTGTGGAAAATATGTATCTGGTGTATATCGCTGTGGTCATCTGCTTTTTGGAGGGAATGCGACAGCTTAGGGAAAAATGCCTTCCTAAAGTCGTACACTGCCACGACTACTAAACACATCAGTAGCTTTAAAATTTCTTGGTGAAGGATGAGGACTGACACATAGTAGGTCTCATCTTGCTGGGAGCTTTCCATCGAGTAGTGCGTGAGAACGACCAGGAAGCTACTCTGCAATACTAATACAGTAAGACTAAGCGCCGAAATAGATCAAAAATGTCGCCAATAGACTAACACTCCGAAACACACGTTTTTTATGATTGACATGTTTACGGAAAAAAAAAGGAAAACACTTTTTTAAAGAAAATAAATATCCCTATGCTCTGAATTTTTAATCCTGCATACACTCATTTGATAAAAACAATAGGTTCGAATAATAACTATGATTTCCAGAGGACGATGATTTAATACCTATTCGATATACAAAATCCAACTGAATTGTAAAATATATACAAGCAATATGAAAAAAAAGGAAGCAAAAACAAAAAGATGGACATGTAATTCCACGAAATGCTGCACAGTAACGTTTTGAGACTAAACTCAAGGCAACACCAGAAAAAAAAATATAATAATAGGTAGACTAAAACGAAGAAGAGCACATAAAGCAAGGTTGAATTACAATAATTCTGACAAAACTAGGCCATTCATTTTCTATTTAATCAACAGAATATTCAAACGACATCATCGTCTTTACTACGGTTCCAGCTAAAGATTGAGTTGAAATATAAAAGTTTGCGGTAATCGAAGAACGATAAGTTAGTAGCAATGCCTCACGAAGGTATCGTTAAATCGTCGTTATTACTAAATTACCGCCCACATCTAAACCAAGAGCCCTAAACCTTGATGCGTTGAAACCGATCTCGTTACATGTGATCAAATTGATTAGAATAATGATGGCAATAATTCCCTATTCATTAAGCTACTGTTGCAATTTATTTCTCCCTATATAGAGCATTTATTCTAAGTGCTACTTTTACATATTCACTTGTCTACTTTTTGGGGGGTGGTGGGGTTGGCTTCGGTCGAGGATTCAGTTCAAACGGAATCCATTCCTTGGTGTACCCGTTGGAGTTCCGATCCTCAATCTTTCGAAGAGCATTTGTACGTTTGTCTATGAACTCGCAGCACTCCAACAGGTCTGCGAATGGCGTATAACCCTCACGGAAGGCCATGGGCTCTTGACTGGGAGCAAATTCCCGTGTCTTCACCATTCTTTCAGCTTGCTCCTTCGCCTCGATGTTAGCCCGCGCCATGGGTGTATTGTTAGTCTTGACATTTTTGCCGTCGAGAGCAGCTTTGGTGCCCTCAACGAAAGCCCCGCAGACCTTCAGGGAGGGTCGTTTTGTCGTGCAATGCGGCAGACTACCCGTGGCGTGCATAGACACCACTTTGGACTCATGAATCTCGGGTTGGAAGCCCTGAAATTTGCTATGCTTTTCGGGATAGGTAAAGCTAGCGTAGCAGTGCCCCGCACCTGGTGCGGGAGGCGTCGTGCGGGAAAGCACCCACTGTGGTGTTAAATGGGCAGCAGCCTTGGTGTTGGGGAACAGATCCCCATGCCCACCACTAAGGAATGCTCTTGAATAGCGAATCATAGATCGTGCTGATGAAAACAATAAAGAAAAATAAGGGATAAAGTCAGAAGCCAAGGAATAAAAATGTAGGTAAAGATGGGTGGAGTTACTGCTAATAGAATAAAAAAGAGTGAATATTTTTGACGAATAACTTTTGCATACAAATACAAATGCTTTTAATTTGCTCCTCCCTTTCTGTGATGTTGTTCCATCTTCATTCTCACTTCCTCATAGCGTTAACACCAATGTCCACCGCCTCGTTGAGTGATTGAACGTTAATATCGCTTTCATAATCACGATGGATCCGTCGTCGCATACCATACTGCCCCTTGACGAAAGCATTTTCGGGCAATGGTGCGGGTTTGTTGGCCTGTTGGGCATAATACGCTTCGATTTCAAGCATTTTCTTGCGGTGTCGCTCCTGCATTTCATCCTCATGGGACGATGCATAGGCATGATAGCGCTTTTTTTTTTGATTCCCCGGCGGTGGTCCCCCTTGAATAAAATGTCGATAGGTAGTAGAAAAAACAGATATTTTTTGGCGTGCCACAGTTGGCGAAGTCGGCCGCATAAAGCAAAGGGCAAAACGTTGCATGAAAATAACACTATCCAAAAAAAGAGAGTGACGATAATATTGTAAAGTGTGTTCACGCCTTCAATAACACTTTGACGTCGTTTCTGTTGCTGTTGTTGAGATTCTATTTGTATGAGAGAACGTGATCACGTGATCTCTTCGCAAGAGACCACACACGTGATACTAATATCTGTATTCCTATAAGAGATAAAAATCCTACCCCTTGGATCATCAGAATAATGAAAAAATGATACAAAATAAAGCAAGAATTAAATTAAACATTCGTTCCTGCATTACCCCATGCCCAGAGATGTCATGAGAAACATCCACAAAGATGAATAACCATCACCTTTGTTTTTCCCCAAGCACCATAAATTTTGAGAAAGGCTGTGATACGTCCTCGCACATTGATAACCGAAAAGAAAACCAATGGAGAGTGAAGACAGATATTATGAAAAGGAAAAAAGATTCGGCTTTACTTGCAGACAGTGAAAACACAAGCGCTTATGAGTTTAGCGGAAGGGAATAGATTATCCTCCCTAGTTTAAGAGCTGCCTCAAAATTTAGGAAAAAAGAACAGAGAAAGCAAATCAAGTCGTGAAACATTAATAGAACACGTGGAGGGGAAATTTTCCTTAATGAAATTAGTTTCCCTTCTCACACACTCCAACAGGATTCTACGTTACTTAGTAAATACGCTGTGGCGTT